AGAATGCAGAAAATGTTTCAACTATAGTCTAGTGAAGTTGTTAGGATGCTGTAAGCAGTGCGTAATGAGCCTTTCTGGTTGCATTCAGAAGACTGGAATGCCAAAAGACATAGGCAGTGGAAATTAGGGTAACCTAGGCTAGGGACTGTTGGTATTATGGCAGTTGCTACATTCTGCTTGTGTACTGAAAACTTCAGTAAAAATGGTTGCAGAAGTAATTCCTAATTGCTTATCTCTCACCACAGATGATTCCTTTTGCAAGAGAGACCATTTCAGTAAACAACTGGTCAAAATGTAGAGAACAACTAATTGTTGGGTGGTCAGCTTCAGTGGATACATCTATAATACAACTCCTGCACCTAAGGCCGAGGGGACATTGTAGGAGAGGGAATGGAAGGATTGTAAGAGGCAGAGGACCTCAAACCTGCTTTGCTGTGAAATTGTGTCTTCTAGAAATGGCAGTCAAGCTTCAGCCACTATATCTCAATAGTATGGCTGCATAAACAAGGCCTGAACAAGGAACAACACTAATAGACAGCTAAAGTGGAAGGAGCGAATCTCATTGCACGCTAACCCTAGATAAAGAACAACTGGCAACTAAGGATGCTGAGAGCAGGAGAATTAGTTTTCCTGGGGGAGAAATCTCTTAATTGGGTATTTAATATCAGGTGGTAGCCTGAAATCATATACATACAAGTAACATTAAATGGACTCAAGAGATGTATTTATATATTAATATGTTTATATATGTATGTAATAGTGAAGAAAAAGGGCATGATATGAAGGGGGCACATGGAGGATTTGGAGGGAGGAAAGGGGAGGGGAAAATGATGTAATTATGTTTTAATTCAAAAAATAAGATGGAAGAGAGTGATCAGAGATGACCCCTGATATTGACTCTTGGCTTCCGCATAATCACACTCAACACACACGCAGACTTGCACCTCACAAAAAGAAATGCTGAGCATGATGATTGGGGTAGAGTAAAGAAGGAATCCATTAAACATTGTTGATGGGAATATAAATTATTAGTCTTGCCATTATGGAAGTCAATATGGGAGATCCTCAAAAAACTAAAGTAATACTACTATATGATCTTCTTGTACAACTCCTGGTTATCCATTCAAAATCAATAGTGATACTTGCAATACCTGTATAATCACTGTAGCAAAATTATAGGATCAGCCTGTGTACTTATCAGGAGATGAATAGATTTATTTGATATTCATACAAAAACAGTAAATAGTGATAAATAGTGATAGCTAAATTATAGGATCAGCCTATGTGCTCATCAGCAGATGAATGAATGTGCTTGATATTTATACAAAACAGTAAGTAGTGATAAAGTAAATAGTGATAAATATGAACAAAATTAAGTAATTTGCTATAAGATGGGTGAAACTGAAGATTATATATTAAGTGAAGTAAACTGAACTTGGGAAGAAATTATTACTGGTTTTCTGTTTTACTCAGAATCTGAATTTTAAGACCAAGCATGAAAGTAGGAGGGCAATATCTGGGAAAAGCAAGGAGACTAGAAAGCGTGTAGAGGGAAGGAGATGGGGTGAATGTACTCAGATTGTATGTTATGCAAATATGAAAATGTCAGTGAGAGCTACAATTCATACATCTAAAAGGGATTTTGGTGGTTATGCAGAGTCTGTATAAATATGTTTTATAATATTGTAATGGAGGTACTTCATAATTCTTACTTCATAAACCCTTTAGAAGTTTATTATTATATACAAATATTTTTGCTTTATTTAATTGAATGAAGTGGTATAGTAAGCTATAGTAATGAAATTTTACATTTCCATGTATTAGGTCATTTGCAGTGAAGTTTGGGTTTTTAAAAGAGTAATTCTATGTACAGCATATAGAATTATGACTAATGCAAATTTAGATATTTCTATGAATATAAAATAAAAAATTGGTCAGAACAGATGTGGTTTTATATCTGTGTTCTGAAGCTATTGAGTTAATATATTATTTAAGTTTTAATTCCCAGTCTAGGTAGCATCCAGCTTCTCTCTGAAGATTATTGAAAATGAAGGCTTGGGTTAAATTCCATCAGCTATCTTTCAGTGAAATTCTAAAAGTGTTTGAGTAGTTAAACAGAACAAATATTTAAAAAATATTATAGGGGAATGCCAGTTTTCTGTACTGTCATCATTTTAAAAATCTTACACTTTAAGTGAAAATACATATATCATTTTAGAGTATTGCTTACAGCGTTTATATTTAGGGGCAGTCTGATTCTAGTTGAAATTATTAAGACATTACAATTAAAATTCTTTACAAGTATTTTATTAATTTTCTCCATTTCTTTTAATTCTCTCATTTGTTGTTTGCTTCTTACCTGTCTAGAAGAGACTAATGCCCTTAATAGCTCCTCCGATGCTTTTTTTTTTTGTAAATTTTTCAGAATGTTTAATTTTGAGGAGTGGCACAAAACTGAACAACTCCACTATTATTAAAAATAAAAACATTAGTTGTAGTAAGGGACATTTAGATATTGGTAGAGTTTTAGTTTTAGGCTTTTAAGTAATTTTGTGAGTGACTATATTCATCTAAATAATTTGTCAAAAGTTACTGAAGCTATTAGTCTCATGGGGAAATTCAGATGTTTTATGTTCATTTTGCTCCATTTCAGTGGAATCTTTCTTTGGTATCTATTTTTCTACTTTGGGCTCTTTCAGTTGCCCTCTCCTGACCTGGGCTGTTCTTTTCTCAGTCATGAAATATGCTTGCACTCAGTTTTGATATTTGTAAGAATTCAGCTACCATATGGGTAATAGGAATCAATCTGTGACCTGTGGAAGAATGGTGAGTGCTCTTAACCACCAAGCAATTTCTCTAGCCCACAGTAAGTTTTGAAAGCAAGTGTTCATAAGGTTTCTCCTATACCATTAAAATGTACCCCCCCCCCCAATTTAGATTATAACTAACTTCAAGTCTTTGTTAAAAACAGAAGTAGCTTTATGAGAAAAATGATTTATAGCAATTGAGTAACAAGTTACCTAGGAACATAGCAACAAAGCAGGCATTTATAATCTGTCCATTTTTATAGGTCAGGAATGTAGGATTAGGTTAGTTGGATATTTCTGTCTCTCTTGGGATTCTAGTCAGGCTCTTTCTTGAAGATAAAATTTGGGTTCTCTTGGGACTGCAGGATTTTCTTCAAGGTTTATGACATGTACTGTTGGCAAGTTTGCAAGAAACGTGGTTCCTTGCTGGCCACTGCCTTGGACTCTGATTTCATTGCCCTAGGATAGTCTCCATGATACTGCTTTCAGTGCCTCTGATTTCTCTAAAAAGGTGACAGAAAAGCAAGGGAGGTGCCACAATGCTCTTTTCACCCCTAGACCATAGCAGCTTTTTCCCCTTTCTTTCATTTATTTTCACGTGGGTGCTAGATATTGGAAAATCAGGTCTTCAATCTGGTGCAGCAGGCACTGTATGGACAGTGCCATCTCTCCAGCTTTGATATTTTGGTTTGGTTTGAGACAGGTTTCTCTGTAGGTAGTCTGATCTGTCCTGGAACTTGCTTTGTATAGCTTTTGCCTCCTGAGCACTGGGATTAAAGGTGTATGCCACCATGCCTAGCTAATCTCTCTGTTACTTTGATCTCTTAATATTTAAAAGTTACTGTTAAATTTTTGTATTGTCAGAATCTTTAAAGACAGTATTTCTTACATTGTTGGTATGAGTTAAGTAGATGTTTTTGTACCAAGCCTTCACATTAAATTTAAGCTAGGTGTCTGTTTCTCAGTTACAGTTTCATTGAGTGGAAGTTAGAAGGATCCTGGAAAGAAATGGATGTGGGAGTCTGAGTAATTTAGAGGCTTTGTGAAATAGTGGTCTTTGAAAAATAAGCTGGGAATGGTAAGAGCACTGGATGTGAGCTAAGGGAACCATCTTGGCTATTGAGCAGTAAAGCTACTGAGGGTTCTTAGAGAAACTAATCTGGGAGATGTATATGAGTTGGTGGTAACACCAGGCATTTGGAGAAATAATAGGCATTTAGAGAAATGAGTGGTTGATTATCAGGTTTCCCAGCATTTTATTTTAAAGGGGGAGTTATACAGTGCTCAGAAGGTGAGGTTTAGAGTAGAATATTTTAGTTTTAAATATTGGCCCATTTACTCACTTAACTGTCTTGGGAAACCTACTGAACTTTTTGTTTTCTCACATTTTTCTCTAATGCCAGTGATTTTCTTTAGTAGATTTATGTTTATTTTAAAGATTTTATTTATTTATTGTGTATACAATATTCTGTCTGCATGTACACCTGTACACCAGAAGAGGGCACCAGATATCATTATAGATGGTTGTGAGCCACCAAGTGGTTTCTGGGAATTGAACTAAGGACCTCTGTAAGAACAGACAGTGCTCTTAAGCTCTGAGCCATCTCTCCAGCCCAGGTTCATGTTTTTAATTTTATATTCAATGTGATATTTATGAATCTAATAGTTTTTAAAAGATAGTTGAATATCATTAGTGCATTAAGTTTCTTTCTTGGTTGATTTGAATGCTATCTAAATTTCTAATGTATTTGAGTCAATTTCTAGACTTTCATTTCTATGGTTTTATATATTGTGGGCCGTGAAAAATTTATATACACATAATATGTAGAATGTTTTGCCTGCATTAGTATATGTCTGTACCAAATGCATGCCTGGTGCCCTTGGAGATCAGAAGGAGGATATGGGATCCTCTTGAGCTGGAGTTACAGACGGGTGTAAGTCTCTAAGTGAATTCTGGGAACTGAACTGGGGACTGCAAGAACAGTGCTTTTAACTACTAATCAATCTCTCCAGCCCAGTGACATGTTTTTACGAAGAGATAGATCATGTAAACTATATTAACTTACCTAGTTATGTCATATTTTATAAGTTGTTATATAGACTGTGGAATCATTTATGGATAAGTTTCATTCACCATTATTATTATTATTATTATTTATTTATTTATTTTTTTCTTTTTCTTTTTCTTTTTAGCTGTGATGCCGATCCATCAGCCCTAGCAAAATATGTTTTGGCTCTGGTAAAGAAAGACAAAAGTGAAAAAGAATTAAAGGCATTATGCATTGATCAACTTGATGTATTTCTTCAGAAAGGTAATATCCGTGTGTGTGTGTATGTGTGTGTGTATGTTTGTAAAATTTATTTACCTTTATTTTATGTGCACTGGTGTTTTGCCTGTGTGTGTGTGTGTGTGTGTGTGTGTGTGTGTGTGTATGAGAGTGTCAGTTCTTGGATATATATATATATATATATATATATGAGAGTGTCAGTTCTTGGAGTCACAGACTGTAAGCTGGGTCCTGGGATTTGATCCCAGGTCCTTTGCAAGAGCAGTCAGTGCCCCCAACCGCTGAGCCATCTTTTTAGCCTCATTGCCTTTGGTTTTAAAATACTGTTTGAGTAAGTTATTGACAGACTATTAAAGGACTTAAGCCTCTATTTGTAACAAAGCTTTTAGTTGTAACAAAGCTGAGTAAACATATTCCTAACTATATATATGGCTTGCTTCCTCATTATCTTTTTTGCTCATTTTGTTATATAGATTAGTATATAGGCTATTTAAGACAATACTAAAGAAACTTTTTGGAATGTTGTGTAGGGCATCTTTTCAATCTTGTACTTTTCCCACATCTAGATAATGTATTTGTGTCTGTATATCAGGTGTACTACTATATGTCAGAAAATAGTTGTGGATAGTAGTAGCTGTCTGAGAGGCTTTTGTCATTCTAATCTTGAAACCTGAATGAATCTTTATTGTGGAACTTGTACCATTACACATTGCTTGGCAAGCTAGGGTCATGGTGTTAAGAAGTTTGATGTATAAAACTGGGGAATTAAGGTCTTATTAAGTTTCTTTTGATCTATGAGGCTTTTGGTTTTATTTTTAGAGACGCAAATATTTGTGGAAAAACTTTTTGATGCTGTGAATACAAAGAGTTATCTACCTCCTCCAGAGCAGCCGTCATCAGGAAGCTTGAAGGTAGACTTTCTTCAGCACCAAGAAAAAGATATAAAAAAAGAAGAGGTGAGAATTTGTAATACTGTGTTATGTATTCCTTAAGTTCACAGAAGGAATGATCAGTTTAGTTTTCTTTCTTTGCATTTTTTTAATTGGGGCTGGAGAAACGGTTAAGAGCACTCTTAGGAGCTCTTCCAGAAGTCCTGAGTTCAATTCCCAGCAATCATAATGGTGGCTCACAACCATCTATCCTGGGATCTGATGCCCTCTTCTGGCATGCGGGTGTACATGCAGATAGAACACTCATAAATAATAATAATAATAATAATAATAATAATAATAATAATAATAATAAAACCCAAAAAAGATTGTTTCATCCTGTTTAGCCTGGGTATTTGTGCACCATGTGTGTGACTAGTGCACACAAGTCAAAAGAGAGAGTCTCAGATCGTTGGAACTGGAGTTACAGATGTTTGTGAGCCATCACGTAGGTGCTGGGAATTGAACCCAAATCCTCTGGAGGAGGATTAGCGCTCAGGTTTTATTTGGAGTAGGCATCTTGTACCTAACTTATAACAGAATTCCAGACTCCCAAGAGAAAACCAAGTGTTGGCATAAGTCATACTGTTTTTGTTTTTCACAAACCAACAAGTTAAGTGATCCATTCTTATCAGGAAATGGTGAGGACGCTATAGATACCAACATTTTCAGAAGGTAGCTGAGGACCAGTCTTATAAGTAGGCCCCACTCAGGCATAGCATTCTGGGTCTACTTTGAACTCTTTTTCTGTACTGAGTGTAGAAATTTATTCTGTCTGTCATATGTTTAGTCAGAATATTTTTTAACATAGTGATTTTTACAAGGTAATAAAAATGCCTTTATACTTAAAATATTTGGACATCTTAAGCTGCATTTTATAATCTGTGTATTTGCTTAATAATTTAGATTTTTCTTGGTTTGTTAAAAATCAAGATGACTGAGGATAGTTGTGCCAGAGAAAACAATGTCTGGCGTTCACACTGTTAATGTTTTGTATTCAGCTAGTTTTAGTTTAAATGAGCCTTGGTTTTGGTTTTCTTGGGACAGGGACTGTTATTCCCAGCTTCATTAAAACTTGCAGTGTAGACTAGGTTGACCTTCAGTTTGTTGATAATTCTCTTGGTTCTACCTCATGCAGGTGTATGTCACCACATCTGATACCACATTTTACTATTTTTAATGGCATTTATTTATGCTTATGTGCCTGTGTGAACATATTTGCATGTAAATGCCAGAGTCCATGATCAGCTCTCCTGAAGTTATAGGTGGCTCTGAGCTGCCTGACATGGGTACTGGGAACCAGGCTTAGGTCTGTCCTCTATAAGAGCAGTATATGTGCTTAACATCTGAGCCAGCTCTTTAGCCCTTGTACACCAATCTTTACCAAAATTTTTGTTCTTTGCATAGCAACTATGTGCTGTTGAAAACACTAATTTCCTGAGCTTAGTTTTATTTAGCTGTGAAGTGGAAATGTTACAGGGTAAGGAACAAGTACAGTAATGTATCTATAGCAATTGGTATACTGCTTGGCACATGCCAAGTTCTTAGTAAGTGATAGTGCTTTTATTGTTGGGAGGTTCTTGTGCCATCAGAGAAGTGGATATGACTTTAGGTTCTTTTCCTTCCTTCTACTCTGATCTCATATATAAGCAGTACAACTTACTGTGTAGTGATAAATACATAGTAATGTATTCTCAGTTATTTTTATCTTTGTATCTGAATTTGTGTATATATTTTTACACACATGCACACACATTCTAGTTTTATCTGCAGGAGAGGATCACAAATATACTTTTATAACTTTTGTAATACTTGAAAGTACAGTAGACGCAGTGCAAGGGGAGGACATCATTGTATTGATCATCACTTTGTCCATACGGAGACATACGCTGATTAAAATTTTGCCCACTGGTGGAACTTTGGGTTGCCTGAAGTTAATTTTACGTGTGTATATATACTTAAATGTCCATATTCATAAATATTTACATATATGCAAACATATGGAAGGAGAGGGTGTGACTGAGAGTGCGGTCAAGCAGCACCTGAAGTGATGTGCTGTGTCAGCTTCTGGACTATCTGGAAGTAGAGTCACATGCTACTGTATCCAACTTCAATTGTAGTTTAATTCTCAAGAATGCCTTGAGTCGACTCTGGGTCCTTGTCTCAGTGCTTTTTGGTGACAAAGGCTTAGTATCCTATCTGTTGCTAAAAATAATCCTTTATTATAGCATTTTGACCAGTTGTGGAAGGTTTTGGTATTGAGCTTTTAGAATTATTAAATGCCGCATGGTGTGGAAGAGCTAGAAGCTGCTGTTTGGTCATGTGTTAAGGAATGTTGCTCTGTGTCTGTGTGTGTGTGTAAAAGTGTATTATGTTGCTGTGTATGTTTATAGGATGGAATGTTGCAACATTTTGCTTGAAAGAATACATTGTGGCAAATAGGAGGAAAATCCACCAGGAGATCTGGAGAGCCTTAGACTTATACCAGTCCTTGAGGTTGAGGTACAAGGGTTTTAAAGTGTCAGGCCAGCCTTGACTCCATAGTGAGTCCAAGTCTTAAATACAACTTCATCAGATAGGTTTTGTTAGTACTAGGTTTTTATGTGGATTAGCAAGACAATATGAAGTGGTTAGGAAGGGAAAAAAAAATAAAAGCAAACAGTTGGTGGGCGGGTTCTACAAATTTTTGAAAGAAGCATTTCTGCAAGTTAGTCTTTTCATATGTTTCTATTTAATTAATTAATGTGACACACATTTCATACCAGTGAAGTTTTTTTTTCTTCTTTTTTCTTTTTTAATATTTTAGGGATGCTGGGAAGGCTGACATAGACTTAGATGTGTGTATTCACAGATTGCCTGCATCCGAATTTCTTTATGTTCTTACTTAAAATACATAGTCCTCCAAGCCCTGGCATATTTATAGAATCAGTTATCAGTGTCTTTAATATGTATAATGTCTATATATATTATTCTAACCACATATTCATGTCCTATGGAATTAGTGTTGTGGGATGTCTAATTTGGATAGTGCAGCAGTGACTAAAGGCATATTCTTGTAATTGTTTTCTAGTAGCTATCAAACATGAATATAGTCCTCCTGTAGGAAACAGTATGTAGCTGACATGATGCTCTAAAAAGACAGAGAACTGTTTCATTTTTAAATTATTTTCTTGTGTACTCTTGTGACTTGATTAGTACTAATGTGTTCTCCGTTCGATGATGTGAGACCAAATCCACTAAACACAAGCAAGACAGTATATTACTTTTGAAAGAAGGAATAAAATTGCCTTTCATATGTAAAAATGAAGACATTTACTTAAAATATCTTATTGCTATTATTATCTAAAGTAAGGGTTTATGACGTTATTAATCAGCTTACCTTTCAGCAGTTACAGTTAAATGAATGTATTTGGTAGAGAATTTAATTTTGCTTGAATACTTGTAATGAGAATTTTGTATCTATTATATAAAGTAAACTTAATATTAATTTACTGGACTAGTAACATGACAAAGAATTGCTGTTGGTAAAGTTCTCTAATTTTTTTTTTTATATTAGCTGACAAAGGAGGAAGAGCGAGAGAAGAAGTTTTCCAGAAGGCTGAATCACAGTCCTCCCCAGTCAAGCTCCCGATACAGAGACAATAGGTGATTTGTTGAACCATTCTTAAAGATTTTATTTTTTATTATTTAGACTGACTATATTTTCAATAGGATCAAGTAAGTAGTATTTACATTTTCTTTGTTCTTTTGGATTTTTTTTCTTTTTTTTGAGATAAAACCTTGCTAATTAGGTAGCTTATAACTCATGGCAAATTCTTCCTCTGCCTCCAGAGTGTTAGGATCACATTTTAGGCTTATGTCATCATCACACTCAGTACTACTATTCTTTTATTGGTCCAGGGAAGTATAACTAGGTCCTTTGCTACCGATAATAAGTTGAGTGTGCTGGCAGTGAGATTTAGAGCAGTGCTTTGTACATCAGTTGCTATTGTTACTGATTTTCCTTACTTTAGATCCAGTGCCTCTTTTCTTTCTTTCTTTCTTTCTTTCTTTCTTTCTTTCTTTCTTTCTTTCTTTCTTTCTCTTTCTTTCTTTCTCTTTCTTTCTCCTTCCTTCCTTCCTTCCTTCCTTCCTTCCTTCCTTCCTTCCTTCCTTCCTTCCCCCTTCCCTCCCCTTCCTTTTCTTTCTTTTCCTTTTCCCTTTCCCCTTTCTTTTTCCTTTTCCCCTTCCCTCCTTTTTCCTTTTCCCTCTCCTCTCTCCTATTTCCCCCTCCCCTCCACTCTCCTCCCCCCTCCCTCCTGGACTCGATTTGTAGACCAGGCTGGCCTCGAAGTCACGGCGATCCACCTGCCTCTGCCTCCCTGAGGACTGGGATTAAGCCATGTGCCACCATACCCTGCTGATTAGTGCCTCTTAATAAGAGATTTTATTTTGGGCTTTTTCTTTTTATTACTTATTAAGATCCTTTTATTACATCATGGCTTTTATATAGAAAGACAAAGTATTAAGAGATACAAAGAGTTACCACTCTGAATAATGACTCTAGAAGGAATGATTGGCGTGGGGTTAGGTGGGGTAGGACATAAGAATGCCCATATTCAAATCCAAAAAGGAGGAAAAGGATAATTTAATTCCTATAACTTAGAATATAGTAAATATATGTACATGTTTATAATAAGTAAACCCAGTACATAATAACAAGTAATATGATAGTAATAATAAAAATAGAGCTGGGTGCGGTGGCAGCCATTTTTAATCCCAGCCCTCAGGAGGCAGAGGTGGTGGATCTCTGAGTTAAAGGCCTGGGCTATACAGTAGCCCTGTCTTAAATAATAATAATTTAATAATAAGCATGTTGACAGTAAGGCAGATGATGGGCTTTTTTTTTTTTAGGTTTTGGGGGGGGTGCTTGAAGTTTCTCTAGTGTGATTGAATTATTTTTCCTATTACGGTTTCAAAAGTGCTCAGAGTATGATACAGGTGATACATACATACGTGATTGTTATATATACTATCTGTAATATAAGATGTGTAGATATTTGTATGTATAGATACATAGTTGTATAAGACTAAGAATTAAGAGATTAATTTTTTTTAAAGCTTCTAGAATAAGTATAAGTAAACTCCAGAGATTTTAGTTTTTGGAATTGCTTTTGTTTGTATTGTGATAATGATAAACTTACTATTGGGAGGGCTTTTCCTCCTCTCATTTACTTCATCATTATTCATATAAAAGTGATGATATATATATTTTTTAGAAGCCGTGATGAGAGGAAAAAAGATGATCGTTCTCGAAAAAGAGATTATGATCGAAACCCTCCTCGAAGAGATTCATACAGAGACCGGTATAATAGAAGGCGAGGGAGAAGCCGCAGTTACAGCCGGAGTCGAAGTCGAAGCTGGAGTAAAGAGAGGCTTCGTGACAGGGATAGAGATCGAAGCAGGACGAGGAGCAGAAGCAGAACTCGAAGCAGGGGTTGGTAATCTATATGTTTGTGATTTGGTTGCAGTTCTTTACTGTGGAAATCTGTGCTGCTTAATGGATTTTCTTATCTTTCTTACTGTGATTTTTGAGAATGCCCTTTTTCTTTCTCACTATATGTCCCTGTCTGGCTTAGAAATGGCTGTGTACACCAGGCTCTTCTCAGATGCCCAGAGATCTGCATGCTTTTACCTCCTGGATACTGGGATTAAAGGGTGATTCCCCCCCCCCCCCAAAAAAAAAAAAATAAAAGGCATGGTCCTTTATGCTTGGCTTCTATGGTGAATGTTGTTTTTAAAATTTTAATTTATTTTTTTATTTTTTTTAAGACAGGGTTTCTCTGTGTAGCCTTGGCAGTCCTGGACTCCCTTTGTAGACCAGGCTGGCCTCAAACTCAGAGATCTGCCTACTCCTGCCTTCCTGAGTGCTGGGATTACAGGTTGTGCCACTGTGCTGTCTAGATTTAAATTTATTTATTTTGTTTTTATTCGAGACATGGTTTTAGTAGCTCTGGCTGCCCTGAAGCTCACTCCATAGACTAAGTTGTATGTGCATAAGTTTAAGTCACCATCCACTGTAGTACAGCCAGCTTGCCTTAGCCATACTACTGAAGTAAACTGGCTGTCCCCGCAGCCTTCAGCAGCTGGTAACTCCTGAGCCAAGAGTGGGACCTCTTCCTAAGTCCCTTCTCTCTCCATGCTGGAGTGTTGACAGGCTTGGTTTGCAGGTCGCCACTTGGGCTGCAGGTTCATGAATGCAATGGTCTTATCAAGTCCACCTTATTTTGTATTAGTCTCTCCTGATTTCTGGCTCTTACTAATCATGAATTTTGCCTCTTCCAATCTTCCTGCCTTCTCTTCAAATATCTTGAAAATTTTAGGGAAGGGTTGTGGTATAACTTGTCCTGTAGAGGACTGAGCATTTCACAGTCACTTATTTTCTGCTCTTTGATCAGTGAGTTAGTAAGTACCTTTTAAAAAGAGACCATTTGTGTAAAGTTTAAATTGTTTTCTGTTTAACAAAAACTTTCACTGTGTTTTAAGACCTGGGATTTTTTGTTTTTTTAGAATATAGTTTTACAAGTTATTTATTTTATTGCAGAAAGGGACCTCGTGAAACCTAAATATGACCTGGATAGAACAGATCCATTAGAAAATAATTATACACCAGTCTCTTCAGTATCTAATATTTCATCTGGCCATTATCCAGTACCTACTTTGAGCAGCACCATTACCGTAATTGCTCCTACTCATCATGGTAATAACACTACCGAAAGTTGGTCTGAATTTCATGAAGACCAGGTAGATCACAACTCTTACGTAAGGCCACCAATGCCAAAGAAGCGCTGTAGAGATTATGATGGTGAGTCACTCAACTGTTTTATGATTTTTTTTTTTTTGGTATTTTTGCCTAGTTTATTTGTATTTATGTATTTTGTATATATATGTTTTATATAGTACAAGTTTCTGCCTAAATTATTTGTTTAGATTGTGCAATTCTTCAAAAGAAGTTAACTACAGTATTAGAAAGGACAGATTAGTCTTTATCAATTTGTGAATTCTGTAATACTATCTTCCATTATTTCACTGCTATACACAAGTTAGATTGTTTTTTATAAAAGTGTTAGTTTGCCAAAAAAGAGTCAATACTATCTGAGTTGCTTTTAAAGAAATATTGCTCACCTAAACATTTTTTGATCGAATCATTCTTTAGAAATCAGTGATTACTAGAATATATGTAGGACCCATTAAGACTTTTCAAAGGAAAGCAAAGACTTTATTTTACATTTTAAAATTTTTATTCTTTACAATTTATTCACTTTATTATATTCCATTTATAGCCCCTTCTTTCATCTACTCCTGGTTCCTCCCCCTCTTCCTTCTTCCTCCGCTCTCCCCCTCCCCTGAAAGGGGGAGTTCTCCTTCCTTGCCATCTGACCCTAGCCTACCAAGTCTCATCAGGACTGCCTGGGTCCTCTTCCTCTGTGGCCTGGCAAGGCTGTACTGCCATGGGGAAGTGATCAAAGAAGATGCAGTCGTGTTCACGTCAGAGATAGCCCCTGCTCCCCTTACTCGGAAACCCACATGAAGACTGAGCTGCCTATAGTTTGCAGCTGAGCAGGGGGTCTAGGTCCTCTTCATGCACGGTCCTTGGATTCATCAATCTCTGCAGGTCCCCCTAGGCCCAGCTTTTTTGGCTTTGATGGTCTTCTTGTGTAGCTCCTGTTCCCTTCTGGTCCTTCTATCCTCCCCTTCTTCCTTAATACTCCCAGCCTTCTGCCCAAAGTTGAGAAGCAAAGACTCTTAAGGATTTACTATTGAAGATTGTTTAATATTGAAATAGTTACAAAATAATTTTAATGTTAAAGGAGACATTTAAGTATATGGTATATCTAGACATTGGTATATGATCTACTGATACATATTTGCCAAAAGTTATATGTAAGTTTATATTACTTTACTTACTGAGTATTCATATTTAAGTTTTGGTTTTGGTTTTTCAGGACAGGGATTCTCTGGGTAGCCTTGGTTGTTCTGGACTTGCTTTGTAGACCAGGCTGGCCTTGAACTCACAGAGATCTGCCTGTCTCTGTCTCTCTGAGTGCTGGGATTATAGGTGTGCACCACCACACCTGGAAATTTTTCTTTTTTTATTGTATATGATAGGCATATAGTTGATAATTGCATATTATTAGGAATGAAGAGAGGTCTTGTAAATGTGTCAATTATAATTTTGCCCAGTACTAAAAGAAATCTTATTTTAGATTATTTGTTAGTTCAGAGATAGTTTCTATTTTCAGAGCTTTTTGCATTTGTTTCTAATGATCCTTTACTTACAGAAAAGGGGTTTTGTATGAGAGGAGATATGTGTCCTTTTGATCATGGAAGTGACCCAGTAGTGGTAGAAGATGTGAATCTGCCTGGCATGCTGCCTTTCCCAGCACAGCCACCTGTAGTTGAAGGACCACCTCCTCCTGGGCTGCCTCCACCTCCTCCAATTCTCACACCCCCACCTGTGAATCTTAGACCTCCTGTGCCACCTCCAGGTCCATTACCACCCAGTCTGCCACCTGTCACAGGTCAGTAGATAAATGTGTTTTCTAGTATTTATTATTTGCTCACTTATAGTCTTCTTATGAAAGTAATAATTTCATGTTCAATTTTGTTAACAAATAAACTTTGCATTGTAAAGTTAGCCTATATGTGCCCGGTAAAAACCATTTGTAATACCGTACATGATTCAACCTTTAATAAACTAGTTACTTTACTTTGTAAAAGCCTGTGACTTATGTATATTATGATAATAATCCCCTTGCCTTTAGTCCTTTTTAGTTTACAGGAAACCTGTATTGTAATAGATTAAAAAGAGCATATAATGTAAAAAAAAACAAACAACTTACTTGTAAGAGTAAATATTTTAGCTTGATAAAAGATTGTCAAATTTGAAAGTATAATAATTTGTTTTATTTGTTTGCTTTTAGATGATATTTCTTATTCTTTGGTTTTAACAGGACCACCTCCTCCACTTCCTCCTCTGCAGCCATCTGGCATGGATGCGCCACCCAACTCTGCGACCAGCTCTGTCCCTACTGTAGTGACAACTGGCATTCATCACCAGCCTCCTCCTGCTCCACCCTCTCTTTTTACTACAGGTGCAGTTTTGGTCCCCTCTAAATTCATAATGTAATGGAGTTTTAAAGCATTCCTTTAATGTAGTGAATTAAAAATACAGGGCAAAGTTTCTCACTAAAATTACACAGTGCAAGGTGGACTTGATGAATTAATATTAAGTCACCCCTTTAGGATCTTTTGGAAGACTTCTTTCCATTGGTAATGTTTTTTGTTTGTTTGTTTGTTTTGTTTTTATAGAAATACCATGTATTTAAAACACATCAGTTGTATATTATTAATGATAAATTATATTGTTTAATTTTTGTTATCAATGTTTAAAAGGTTTTTTTTATAATTGTTGTTTAATTACAGTTTTTGTGTTACCAGATACATATGATACAGATGGCTACAATCCTGAAGCCCCAAGCATAACAAACACTTCCAGGCCTATGTATAGACACAGAGTGCATGCACAAAGACCTAACTTGATAGGACTAACATCAGGGGACATGGATTTACCACCCAGAGGTATTATGACCAATTTTTTTCTTACCTTTACAATGTTGGTGGTGGGAAAGTAGGATAGTAGTAGTTCAGTAGTGAAATGCTTGCTTATCATGCACCCTGCATTGATCTCTACCAAAACAACCGAATAACAAACTGAGAAATGAAGAAACATAAAGAAGGGATGGTGGTTTCCTTGCTTGGTTCTCTAGTCTGCCATGAATCCCATAGTTATGAATTTTCCCCAGGTATGCATTTCTCAACTAACTTGTTTGTTTCCTATGTTTTCTTTCATTTGTGGTCTTATTAGTTTATAAACAGTGGTTCTCAGCTTGTGGGTCATGACCTCTTTGGCAAACCTCTATTTCCAAAAATATTTACATTACAAATCCTAACAGGAGAAAAAGTTATAAGTAGCAGTGAAGATTCTTGTAAATGGTTAGGGATCATCATAACAAAGGGATGCAATATTAGAAAAATTGAGAACCACTGATGCAAGAAATGATAGAATTCTTAATGTCTGTTCTAGCTTGGATAACAAGATTATCTAGAATTTAAGCTCTATGTGCAATTTTTTGTACACTTGACATCTTAACATTTGATACATTAGTAAACAAAAGGAAACTGATTCATCTTTTAAATTCTAGGTTAGACAGACTTTTTAACTAAATTATTAAAAACTAAAGTTTAGAGTGAGCCAGGGTAGCAGAAGTTCTTTTTTTGTTTGTTTTGGTTTTCGAGACAGGGTTTTTCTGTTTAGCCTTGGCTGTCCTCCACTTGCTTTGTAGACCAAGCTGGCTTTGAACAAATAAAAAATGATATTTGAAGTAGTATAAAATTTCCTGGACTATAGTTTTTTCAGTGTATATTTATTTCTTTTGCTTATAAAATACATTCATTTTGATAGAAAACCTTGACCTTTTCATAGGAATGTAAAGTAGCTGAGATAAGCACAAAAGTGTTAATGTATGCCTTTCTTTTGTTTTGACACAGAAAAGCCTCCTAATAAAAGCAGTATGAGAATAGTAGTGGATTCAGAGTCAAGGAAAAGAACCATTGGATCTGGGGAACCTGGAGTTTCTACAAAGAAGACGTGGTTTGATAAGTAAGCTGACAGGGAATATTGAAGAATTTCGTTGTGCATTGATTATTGCTATATTATTATTACTATGTACTCTTTTCTCAAAAAATTAAGTTATGTTGATCTGTAGGCTGTTCTCAGCTACAATTTTTGTCATTTTCTAGAAATTTATTAGGTTGGTTTGTCACTATTTAAAAAAAGTTTTTTTCTTATAAAAGTGGCATGACAGTGGGGGACACAAGTTTTCCTTTTTCTACTTCCACCTCTTAAAGAAACAACCCTTTATATATATTAGATGTGTTACTGAACAGGAGCTGTGCACAGGATAATTATGAGTCCTGCATCATTAGGAGAAGAGGATATAGAAGATCTGGATGGAGATTTTAGTATGTAGGTACTTCTTGTTTAGGAACTACAAAGGGCTTTTGGGGGGTGGAGAGGATGAAGAGGCAGGCACTGAGTAGGTCAGGAAGAACTTTGGAGAAATGAAGAAAAAATATTGGATGGTGTGACAGTACATTTATACATTTTCATGCATGAAGGAAGATTAGGGCCATTCTTGATTTCTTAGAAGGAGTAGTTTCTGTATCTGGTTTTGTGGTTAAATCTGTGATTTAAGGTAAAAGGGAAAGGGTAACTTTATTTGATCACAGGTATTTTTTTCATGTGCCAAAAATATCATGTGTATTTCAAATACTTTTATTTCTTTTTAAACTGGATACAGGCTGGGAGGCAATGGGTCATACCTTTAATCTCAACACTTGGGAGGCAGACGCAAGGCCAACTTGGTCTACATAGTGAGTTTGAGCACAGCCAAGGCCTTACAGAGAAACTCCATCTCAAACAAAAACAAACAAAACCCAAAACTGATAATAGGTTGAGTTGTCATCTTTATATTAAAAATTAAAATTAATGAAAGTCTTAAAATACCTTTCAGTAAGCTGACTTGCACAATAGAATGAGATTTGTGTGTACATTTTGACTACAGATAGAAGTACCTTTTTGACATAAATAATTAACAGAAAATGAAGAGTGTAGAAATAAAAAGGGGTATGATGAACTTCAGGTGATTTCCATAACAGATACTAACACTACTAATTTACAAACTGTTGTTTGAAAGAAAACTTTAACTTCATCAACTAGTACTTCTGGTTTGGAGAAAAATCAGTTAAAGACATCCATTTTACATGTAAAACTTCATTCCTTTGTAGTTGGAATCAGAATTTATAAATATATTGATCAATTTGATTTTTGCTTACAGACCAAATTTTAATAGGACAAACAGTCCAGGTTTTCAGAAGAAGGTTCAATTTGGAAATGAAAATACTAAACTTGAACTTAGGAAAGTTCCTCCAGAATTAAATAACATCAGCAAGCTCAATGAACATTTTAGTCGATTTGGAACATTGGTTAACTTACAGGTAAGAACTGTGGAATAATGTTGTTAGTAATTATTTAAAGAACTTAAAATTTTTATGGAGAAATAAAAAATTTGTTCAAATTTTAAGATTGGGAAGCTAGATACTGCATTAGCATCTGATCTGTCACTCTAATGAAATATGTGAAGAGGGCTAACTTAATAAAGAAAAAGATACATGCAAAGATATTAAAATGAACTGATGCTGTTTGTTCATTTGCCTCTCAATTAGAGACTACTGGTGAGTCAGAGGAATTCTGTGGTCTGACTGCTAAACAGTTTTCTCTCATGAAAGCTCAGGGGTCCATGAGAGCTTGTGTCTTCTTTAGGGTTATTGTTGTGATTAAACATCATGACCAAAGCTACTTGATCAGGAAATGATTTGTTCATTACCAAAGGAAGTTAGGACAGGAACTCAAGCAGGGCAGGAACCTGGAAGCAGGAACTGATGCAGGGACCATGGAGGGTGATGTTCAGCCTGCTTATAGAGCCAGGACCTCCAACCCAGGGTGAACCCCACTAGTACTACTTTAATGCCTTGCAGGCTTGTGCGCAGCTAGATCTTATGGAGGCATTCTTATTTGAGGTTCCTTTCTCTGAGATGATTCTAGTTTGTGTCATGCTGACCTAAAACCCCCCAGCATAGCTTTAAGGTCAGTTCTTCTAAATGATCTCAGAAGCAACCGCCAGGCCTCACTTTATGAAGGAGTCACACCACTTACCAGCGTTGCTGGCACTGATAACTTGCTTTGACCTTTGTTTTGTAAAACTAAAAAATGTCAAGAAAGGACTTCGCATTGAAACCTAAATCTGCGTTTTCAGGCCGTGGTCACTCTGATCTGGTCCCAGAATAAATTTTTTTTTCCTTATTCCCTTAAACAAGCAAGAAAGTGAGCAAAAGCCAAAGAACTTTTTCAGGTACTTTGGAATTGTTTAAGAGTGACTAGGTTGGCGTGTTATACAGATAACAAAGGAATAAGGATGATGATAAGATCTTACTTGGAAGGATCAGTTATCTTGAGATCTTAAGAAATTGACTGTCTAAAGCCATGCATTCCTTTAGAACTAAACTGTTCTCCATGTTAAATTTTAGGTTGCCTATAATGGTGATCCTGAAGGTGCCCTTATCCAATTCGCAACATATGAGGAAGCAAAGAAAGCAATCTCAAGTACAGAAGCAGTATTAAATAATCGCTTTATTAAGGTTTATTGGCATAGAGAAGGAGCTACTCAGCAGTTACAGACTACTTCACCAAAGGTAAGAAATTTGTGTGAAGTGTGCTGTCTTAGGTCTTTTACCAGTGCTGAAGCAGAGGCTTTTGAGCCAGGTGACATTTGGCTTTACTACTGTTACTGCAGTGACTTGGGAAAAATCTCTTCTCCAATACTCTTCCCTTAGCTTGTGAGGTTAACCCGCTGTAAGATGGTATGTGTAGAGCTTCTACAGCAGCCATTACTGAGATGTGGTCAGTCAGTAAGTGGTGGCTGTACATCTCATAAGTTTATACTAGACAGTCCTCTTAGAAATTCTTTTTCCTTCTCTTCCTTCTACTTTTCCCTTAGGGAAAATACTAGCTCAGTTTTTTTAAAGAGGTGTTATAGAGTAGTCTGGTTTTTGATTGCTAAAACTGATGGATTTAATTTTTTTGTATTTTTATAACATTTCTTTTTTTGTATTTTTAAATCTTATTTCAGAGAATATTTCAAATATTTCTTAGAATATTTATACACATTGAAAAAATCTGAAAGATAGTTGAGTTTGATTATAAGGTGCGTTTTAAACTTTATATGGGTACATGGATAACAAAACTATCTTGGTTCCTTTACTAATTAATTAGCTTGTTTTAATTTTTCTTTTTGTTCTGAGGTAATACAACCATTAGTCCAGCAGCCCATTTTACCTGTTGTGAAGCAGTCAGTCAAAGAGCGATTGGGTCCTGTACCTTCAGGTACTGTTGAACCGGCAGAAGCCCAGAGTGCTACTTCAGACCTTCCCCAGGTAAATAGCAGCTTTTATCAACAGGTCTGTCAAGTAGGTTCTCCATCAATTAATTTTCTTGGTAACTAGAATTACAGTTAATGATGTATGTTGTACACAGAAATATGTTATTTATATTTTTTACTCCACCTATAAATTAGTTTCACTGAAAGTGTTACTAACACTTTCACTCCTTTTTAATCTTAAATTCATTTTCCTAGTTAATGATTATGAGAAAGATCTCTTTTCACTTTGTGGAGATGTATTTAAATTTGCCTGAAAGTGAAGTTCAGTGCACTAAATTTTATTTTTTCTGTTATCTTTTTACTTAGAGTTCTATCTTCCGATAATTATGCAGTAGAGTGAACAGAAAACTTTTGAGAAGGGAAGACTTAAGCCATCAGGTTACATGTACTTGATTGATAATATATTGTTTTAAGTACTCACTTACCCTGCTTAGAACTTTGCATCACTTACTGGCATTCTCTTCTCTGTATGTCGTTTCTTTCCACTTTCACACTTGAGTGGCAGTTTCTTGTTTCTACACTCTTAGTCTCAGAAATTTAGCTTTCCTTTTTCTCTAGACGTTTCACGATTTGCTGGGCAAAATTGGTTTAGGGTGTAGTGTCCTACTTAGATAATGGATACCATGTTAGCTTTTCAGATAGTTCCTGATGCGTAGAGTAAGAAAATGAGATTCTATATGAAAATTCAGAATGCAAATTGATGAACTGTTATTTTTAAATTATATCTAAATAATCTCACTAACTATAGTGTATTTAGTTGTAAACATTCTTTAGGAATGAATGGTACTTATTTTTAAGTTTATGAAGCAGGCTTATATTTTAAATGTTGAAGTCTATTTTTATGTGCAGTTTCTACTTGGTAACATAAAATTTCAGGAGGGGACTTTAGGAACCAACTACTTGTGGACAGATTTTACACTGTAAAGACTGTTTTTGTTTTTCCATATATATTTTCTCCTTATCTTTTCTTTTCCATTCCCCTTCTTCTTTCTCCTTATTTCTCTCTCCCATTTTTTTTTAAAGGCCCAGGTTTCTGTGGCCAGTATTGTTATGCTCAAACTCAGTATATATTAGTAGAAACAGGATGTTCAAAATCCCAACAGACTTAATATATATTTGGGGAAACACTGAATATGTCCATTTTAATTTTTTTAGAATGTAACTAAGTTATCTGTGAAGGACAGGTTGGGTTTTGTATCAAAGCCATCTGTTTCAGCAACTGAAAAGGTAAGAATAGCATGATGTGTTTGTCTTGGCTTCATAAATGTTTTCCAGGTGGCATCTTCATTTTTTATTTTTTATTTTCATAGCTTGAAACTCCTGCTTCTTAATAGTATTGGTAGCTTTTATGCCTATCTGTTTGCTGAAATAGAAAAATATTAGCCTAGCTCCTGATTTTTACATCAGCATTTTAATACTTGCTTCTCTTATTTCCATGTGCTCCATTCTTTGTTTGTTTTTACATTCATTTTCTTTAGAGACATTATGCATTTTAGCTTGAAAACTCTCATAGTCTAATAGAAAGGGTCATGAGCTAGGAATGTTACCTGAATTGATCCTCAGCTCTTTGTTTACTAACTGCATGGTAACTGGGCAGTGCACTTAACCTTTCTGAATCTTTACTTACGGATAGACTGGTGATGGTTATGTTTGTTTTGCTTTATTTACTTTAAAAAGTAGTCTCTAAATGGGAAGGATGATATAAATTATTTTCTTATTGGCAGTTTAAATTTATTGCTGACTGTTTTTCATATAAGGCTTTACATAACACTTTTCAAATAAGAAGGCAAATATAGATTGTTAAGGCTGTTTGTAGATTTTTCTCCTGAATAAGATGTATGCTGTTTTCATGCTTAGCTGTTAGGGACTACCCTGATAACATTTTTTGTTTGTTTGTTTGTTTGAAGTATATGAAACTGTAGAATATTGGAATTGAATCATAGAAAGACCAAGAATAGCAAAGCCCCAAAAGATTGTGTTTCTTTCATTCCTGGTCCCTGCTCTTTCTAGACTGGAGATGACGGAGGAAGTTTATATTGAAAGTGAATCAAGCATCTGTCTGACCTGCCATTATTTGTTCTTTAGAGTATTGTTTTATTTATTATTTTTTTTCCATTTAGCTTTTTTAAATTTTTTTAAAGTTTTTTTTTAAGTTTTTTTAAATTAATTATACTTTATTCACTTTGTATCCTCCCATAAGGCCCTCCCTCCTCCCCTCCCAACCCCACCCTCCCTCCCCCTTCTTCACACATGCCCCTCCCCAAGTCCACTGATAGGGGAGGTCCTCCTCTCCTTCCTTCTGATCCTAGTCTATCAGGTCTCATCAGGAGTGGCTGCATTGTCATCTTCTGTGGCCTGGTAAGGCTGCTGTCCCCTCGGAGTTGATCAAAGAGCAGGCCAATCAGTTTATGTCAGAGGCAGCCCCTCTTACCATTACTATGTAACCGACTTGGACACTAAACTGCCATGGGCTACATCTGTGGAATCTTATGTAAGAAGTGGGAAATAGTCAGAGGACAGGAACCCCACAAGGAGAGCAACAGAACCGGAAAATTTGAACACAGGGGTCTTCCCAGAGACTCATGCTGCAACCAAGTACCAGGTGTAGAGATAACCTAGATCCCCTGTTTAATTTATTATTTACTTTGTTAAGCTTTTTCCATTGCTGGAAATTTGACACTTAGACTGCATCAGACTTTTCTCTTGGGCCTAAAATGAATTATTTTCCACATAGAAGTTAATTTTAATTTCTAGACCTTACTACTAGGAGTGATTGTTTAAGGAATACAGTCTTAAAGCCTTAAAGGTGTTGGACATTTATTCCACTTTTTCTCTAATCCCTTCAGTTCTCTGGCTTTTGTTTGCCTTATCTTAGCTTCTGGCTTGTTATTCTCTTCTTTAAGTTTTATTTTGTTGCTATTTTGTCAGTACTCTTTAAATATTTATTTGTTATAGAAAATTTGAGCTTTGGCTACAATTACTTTGTTTAGTTCACAGACCATAGAACTCCCCCTCCCCAATCAATTGCTATTCTGTTCCTTTTGCCATGCTGTGTTACTTTTCTACCTTGAGGAGTACCTTTTTGTGTGTTGTTTTGTGTCCTCCAACCTCTAAGGTTTCTGTCTTGATCTCTTTCACTTTTGGTCTCTTTATGTTGATCTGTCTGGCTTTAGCTTCTTTGTGGCACTTCTCCTTGTGTGTTTACCTGCCAATCAAATGTCCTCGTGTCTAGCACACCAATTTAGATGCTACATTAATCATAGGAGGTTTAGTTTTTGGTGTGTATGTATGTGTATGAGACAGATTACTCTCTTCATAATGATAAGTCAATATTTTGTATTTGGGATTTTTTTATATGAGAAATTATGTGGTATAATTTAGGGACTTTAGTTTTTTGTTTAGCCATTGGCGATGACATTGAACAGATCCTCTTTACTATAAAATAGAGCTGCTGTACCTTTTTATTTTAAGTTTTGATTTCATGTATGGTTTTACTAATATAAATCCAAAGATTTGGAGAATATATGAAGCTTTTCTATCCCATTTTTGGTGTATTTTTTAGTACGTTCTCTGTAAAGACTTTCTTGTTTTTTTGTTCTGTTTTGTTTTTTTGGGATTGGGTTTCCCTGTGTGGCCTTGGCTGTCCTGGGCTTGCTGTGTAGACCAGGCTGGTCTCACATTCACAGAGATCTGCCTGCCTCTGCCAAGTGCTGGGATTATAGGTGTGCACCACTGCACCTGCCTTGGGGTTAATTTTTATTACAAGAAAATTTGAGTTATTTAAAAGGTTGCACTTTCTGGGAACTAGGATTTGTAGCAAAAATCTATTATGGATTATAAACACCTTTTCTTTGATATTTGTTTAAAATGTGTTTCTGTAAGGTCATTAATTCCTTCAATTCCTTTATCATATATGGAAGATTACAAAGTTGAACTTATGGAGCAGAGTAAATGATGGTTACCAGGAGCCCAGGGTGAGGAAGTTACAAAGATGATGGCTAATGGTTGTAAAATAATTTCAGAACATTCGGTCAGCATGGTAATCTCAATAACCATGGTTTTAAGTATTCTAATAACCAAAATGTGAGGCAGTACAAGTATTAATTAGGTCAATTACACATACACACATACACCACACAATGGCAAATGTAATTTTTTACTATTGGTTAAGTTTACAAAAGTACTTAATATTCTTAAGAGTCTTTAAAATACTTCATAAATAAAACTTTAAATCTATTCTTCTCTTCGGAAGTCTCCATTTGGCCAGTGTTGGAGAATGCATATCTATGTGCTCTTAAACAGTATTGTAAATAAACATACTGATTTACTGAATAGATGCTTAATGAAAAAAAAATTGAGCATATTAATCTTTCTCTATGCATTGCTCCTCAGATACTTGATAAATTAAACAGTTTCTCTTTTTGTGCTTTAAATACTTGTTAGAGCTGCTTTAACATGTCTGCATCCTTCCATACTAAATTTCAGCTTAGGCATAGTTATTTTAAAAATGAAGCTTAGATATCTTGGTAGTAATCCTATGTAGGATTGTTTTTTTTTTATCTTTACAAAATAATGTTTTCTTTCCATTAGCAAGAAATGTTTGTTTGTTTTACACTTACTAATAGGAGGGATGGATGGTAATGTTTTACATAAGAAACAAGAGATGTGGGAACTGGCCTGATGCTCAGCAGTTGAGAGCACTTGTGGCTCTGGTAGAGGACCTACCTTTGTTTCCCAGAACTCATGTGGTAGTTCACAACCATCCTAACTTAGAAGGTCTAGGGGATGGAGTGACTCCTGACCTTTTTGGACACCAGCCATGCACATGGTGCACATACATAGCATGCAAGCAAAACATTAATACATATAAAATAAATATAAAAGAAAAATGTATTAGTGGACTATATTCTCTTACTGGTTTAGAGAATTGACTTTAGACTTGGTCTTAGGAGATAATAAAAGCAAAGCACATGATAGACTTTTAAACTCATCCTCCGGGTTTATATTTGCTACCAAAACCTGACCAAGGATACTATAAGAAATGAAAAATTACAGCCTAACACCTGTTACAAACATAGGCACAAATATTCCAAAGGAAATATTAACCAATTTCCAGTGATACGTAAAATACATAATACATCATGGTCAGGAAAGACTTAGTCCAGAAATTCAAAATTATTTAACATTAGAAATCTGTCTAATTGACCATAGTAGCATTATAAGGGAAACCTTGCATGACTTTGTATTTAGAAAAAGATTTGGTGAAATACTTAACACTCTGCAAAGTAGAAATAGACAGAAACTTCCCTACTTTGATGAGTGTTTGCACCCTTCCCACCTGAACTAACAAACTTATTGGTAAGACATACTAGTATCTCCCATCTGTCAAGATCAGGACTAAGACACTTTGTTTCAGTCTTTTCATAGAGTCTCACCAATACAATGAAATGATAAACTGAAACAAACCATTACAAAGATTAGAAAAGAAAGAAAACTTTATATATGGATGACATGATTTATTTATATAATCCAAAGTAAACTTGGAAGCAGTCGAGACAACATATCATCATAAGTTAAGCTAGCATTATGTTACCATATAAAATTATAACACATGGAAAAAAATTGGAAAATAAACATGCTGTTTATTTGTTAAGACCTCCCTACATGCTTTGTATTCTCAAGATTTGTAACTTAATGTTGTCTGTTGGATTTGTTGGCTTCCTCTGCTGTTTTCACCTTAAATATATTTATTAACGTAGTTATTGACAATGCTAGTGGTCAAACTTAGGGCCTTGAGCACATACTGCTGGCCTTCAGCTTCATATATAGCTAAGGCTGGCTTTTAATGTTCCATCCTGCTGCTTAGTTACAAGCATATGCCACTAGGCCTGGATAAATTTCAAATCTTGAAAAAATGTGGATATTCTTTATTATTCTAGTATTGAAACTCTAGAATTAAATGGATTCAAATAAAAAGTACTATTTGCAATCCCACAGTTCATCATTTCTAAGACTTTAATTTTACATCTTGGTACCTTTGAAATAGGGCTGTGTTTCACCATTGTTATAAATACACTTAAAATGGTAAGCATATTACTGTTATTGTTTAATTTTAAGTAGGACTCCTTGAGATTGAGGCTTTGTGGAATATTATATCATAGATCTTATTTTTGCAGAAGGAAATTACTGGATAGGGCTATGGATGTGGTTATGAGACAGGTTATGAGACAGCTTGTAGACACAAGAAGTGCTCTGTTCTCATCAGAAACTTAGAGGAAGCACTCCTTAGTCTGATACGAAATGCTAAAATGGTTTGAAAAGTTGTGTGTTCTTTATCCACTGAAGTGGGGAAAAAAAGCTAGGTTAAACAAATTACTTTATTATAATGCATATTTGATGTGGAAAAATAGGATTGTGACACTCAAATTTCCAAGTTACTTAGTTTGTTGATAGCTTTTTAACTTGTTAGGGAAATTTTATGAAGAAACAATATTCAGACTTAAAAGAAAAGACTGTCTTCTATTTCTTATAAGCTACATTAACCTCTTCTTTGTAAAATCGTAGTTTAACACTTTGTGACGTGGCAAAATAACATCAAAGAAAATTTCCCAAATTATTCCAGAATAGTTACTGAAGTTAGACTATAAACTAGATCTGTATTTTGTATTCTGATGAATGTGGTTATTACATAGTTAGTATTCCATGTTTTTGGTAATATATTGCAGGTTTTTACTTTGAAAATAACCCATGAAATTTTGATACATGTAGTATATTATTTTCTTTTACCTTTTAAACATCAGTTGTGCTCTGGGAAGCTAGAATAATGACAGTTTTTATTTCATTTAGATTCTGAGACATTTATGGATCCTTTGAAGAATAATAAGTTGCCCATGTTTTTTGTCCTCTAATTTCATGATGAAAGATCAGAAAGAGGTTTCCAGATTGCTACTTTTATGCTACATCAGATGTTATGTTAGTAGCTAAATCATAGGGTAATATTTCTTATTTGTACTCTTCCATCTGTTTGTATCATCTTTTAGCCCAGGAATTTTAAAGACATTAGAAGCAGCAATATTTTCTCTGCAAAGCCATGGTATATGGCTGCTTGTTTAGGTTACTTGGAATCCATTGATACTCTCTGTAAGAACCAGTATCTCAGGGGACTTAGTGAAAGAAACAGAGAGTAGACTGTTCGCGCTGCTTTTTTTTTTTTTTTTTTATTTTTATTTTAAGTAAACCTTGTGTTTTAAAGGTTTTTTTCCATTTCAACCTATAATCATTTGTTCAAGTTAGTGGAAGTATTTATCATTTATCATGTATGATTGTACTGTGGTACAGATAATACTAACAGTATAGTAATGAACCAAGTGAAAAAGTAATGTTTGCTCAAGGAGGGAATTTTGGGTATTTATTTTAGATACTATCAAGATGAACTTTCCAATTTTATAGGTGAGCACACTGAGGATATCCCATCCCATCCCAAGTTCACTTTAACCAAAGTCTCATAATTCTGTGTCAATAAGTCTTAGGTTCAAGAGTCACGAAGAAGAGAAAGGCTAGATCAAGAACCTTGTAGTGTAGATAGGAAGGAAGACATCATCATCAGGTTCCTTTTTGTTCTTTAAATTTTTTATTAAATAGTGAATATTACCTAACAAATTTAATGGTATTTTTATGTGATGGCTTGAGGAATTTAAAAAAAAAAAAAATCTGTAAGTATTGGAAAGAAAAAAACGGTTAGGGCTTTGACTTGTGTGGCACCTGAGCTCGGTTTAAGAAGTTATGTTCATTTCAAGCAGAAGAATGTCCTTGTAGAGAATAGAGAATGACTGCTGTATTTATTTTAGAACTATAAATTACAGTGATCATACTAACTATAGGATAACATTTAGTTTCCTCGTGTGTTTTTTTCTTTATTCAGATACGCATTAATATATTCATAAATACAGTTACAGCAGTCTTTTTCTCTTTGATTTCATGTTTTACATGGTTGGCGTGGTTTTGGTTTTTGTTATTTAGGTAGGTCACCAGGATTTTTTTTTTTTTGTTTGTTTGTTTTAGGGCTTATTACACATTCAAACTATTCATTTCAAGTCATGAAATGTAGATTTAGTTATTATAACTATATAATGCATTTAGCTCAACATCTAATTTTAGGCAGAAATGCTTTAAAGTTGGATTTTCTTAGAAAGCAAGACTTTAGAGATTAAAATATAATTGGTAACACCTTTTTTAAGAAATTGAATTTGTGTTGGTAGGTGTTATCTACATCTACTGGCCTCACAAAAACGGTGTATAATCCAGCTGCTCTGAAGGCTGCACAAAAAACTCTCCTAGTTTCTGCCCCTGCAGTTGATAATAATGAAGCACAGAAAAAGAAACAGGTAAGCACAGATAGTGTAACGTACAGTTTGCAAATAGGAAGTTCTTTAAACTTGGTGCATGTGTGCGTGTATGTTAAGCTAGTTACCACAAGTTAAGACTGGATGGTTTGATCTTCCATGTGTAGCAATAAATACTCTTTTCCTCCACCCTTTTTCTGTGAAGAGAAGTTTCCTCTGATTCATCTTTGAAACTTGTATACTTGGTCTAAGCTTTGCAGACACAAACTTTGTATATTGCTTTTGTTACCATGCTTATTCAATTAAGACTGCCTTTCTCTTGTGTTGTTTTATCTATCTTTAGTCATATTTAAATGATAGTTTTGATTCTTTTAGGAGGCACTGAAACTTCAGCAAGATGTAAGAAAAAGGAAGCAAGAAATTTTAGAAAAGCACATTGAAACACAGAAGGTAAAATAGTAAAGTTAAATTTGATAAAAATCACATGTTATTTTTAGTGAATTTAATTTACAGTGAGAAGCAGATTTATTGTAATTGTAGTGGTAAAAGTGAAAAACTTAATCAGTGTACCCTATGTTATATGTTTATTAGTATTGGAGTTCAAGAAACTTTAATGAAGTGAAGGGTATAGTTTATGTGGACCTGGTTATCACCATGACATGAAAATAAGTTCATTTAGCTCTTAGCGTATAGCAGTTTGGTAAGTGACTAATGAAATGAAAACTTTTGCTCATTGTTAATATGTACTTCACCAATTTGGGATCCTCTACTCCTGTGTTATACAGTAGAGTAGTCCAAAAGGCACATCTCAGCTGGGCGCGATGGTGCACGCCTGTCATCGCAGCACTCAGGGAGGCAGAGTCAGGCATATCTCTGTGAGTTCAAGGCCATCCTGGTCTACAGAGTGAGTTCAGGATAGCCAAGGCTACATAGAGAAATCCCGTGTTGAAAAACAACAAAAAAGTCACATCTGACTGGTTGTTTGGTTTGTGTCTAGTCCAAATTGAAGTGAAAATGTTCATTGCACAACAGACTTCAACAGTGTAGTATTGAGGGAAGAAAAACATCTCAGTAATTTTGTTGTGGTTTTTGAAATGTGCATTTTGGTACAGCAAGCTAAATTATAGATATAATTCTATTTTTCCTTTTTTTTTAATCTTTTTAATATGATTGATTTGAAGAAAAACACTCATTTTATGTGGACACTAAGAGATGGCTCAGTGGTTAAGAGAATTTGCTACCACTGTTTCAGAGGACCCAAGTTTGAGTTCCTGCAGTGATTCTAGATGGCTCATAGACAGCATGTAACTCTAGTTGCAAGGGACCAGACATCTTTTCTTGACCTCCATTGGCATCTGCCTGTATACAGCACAGGCACAAACATAAATAAGTTAAAAATTATACTTCATGTGACTGGTATAATTTGCTGACATTTTGGGGGGCAGATTAGCGTAACTAGAAGTCAGTTCTTGATTGTGTTTTGTAATGAGTATTAGGTAGAAAATGTAAAAATACAGAAGCAGTGTCTTATTGGGACGCAGTGGTGCATTGCTGTCATCTCAGTACTTGGGAAGGCTGAGGCTTCAAATTGCTTAGGTTGAGGCAATGTTAGGCTACAAAGATACACTTCATTAAAGAGAAACCATAATGTTTTATGTAAAAAAAAAACAAAAGAAAAAAAAACCCTGAAGCTTTCTTAACACAGAGAACTTAGTTCTCTGTGTGATCTTCCATTCCAACTTTCTGTTCTAGATCTAATGTTCTAAGAGAGCCAAATAATAGTGAAGTTCTTCCTGAAGTAAGCTTATTGTAATTAAGTTACTGTTAGCATTACCAAGTCTGCTCTTCTTTGATTTTTGTATACTAAGAGTCTATCAGCTTTGTTGAGAACATGTAAACTAAAAGGAGTATTTATTTCTTTTAACTATTTTTCTGAATTTGTTTTGTTGTCAGTAGTCGGAATAAGTCTCTTACACTTATCTTTTAAAATTTGCCAGATGCTAATTTCAAAACTAGAGAAAAACAAAACAATGAAGTCTGAAGACAAAGCAGAAATAATGAAAACATTAGAGGTTTTGACAAAAAATATTACCAAGTTGAAAGATGAGGTCAAATCTACATCTCCTGGACGCTGTCTTCCAAAAAGCATAAAAACAAAGACTCAGGTATTCTGTTTTGTTGTTCATACAACTACTTATTAAGGATATCAAACATGGGTCTGCAGAGATGGCCTTGTTAAGTGCACTTGTTCTTTCAGAGGATCCAGGTTCAACTCCCTCATTTAGCAGCCAGCTAGATCCTCTAAGTGCCAGAGGATCTCTTTTATCCTAGATTTAGGATAATTATCTTAGAGCTATCCAAGATATATGTACCTATATAAAGACATACTACATAATGCTTGTTAGACCTGTGCTTTTGAAAATTACTACATTTATCAGTTCACAGAAATCACGCCTTGGCTGTGGAATAGGCAATGAATTTTAGGAAAATCAGGGAGAATAAAATTGGTCAGAAAACTTACTAGAGTAATAATACTGGCAATAAAAAAGAAATGCTGGTTGACATGGTGACACATACCTATAATCCTAGCATTTTTGAGACCAGTACAGGAGAATCTTGACTGTATAAGTAGCCCATGCCGAAAAAAGAAAAAAAAAAAAAAAGTGAGGGGAACAGAAATGAGTTTGAAAAAAAGTATCTTGTAAAAATGTGTAAAGTTCAGAGTATTAATTGGTATTTGAAACATTAATGACTTTTTCAGATGCAGAAAGAATTGCTTGACACAGAATTGGATTTATATAAGAAGATGCAGGCTGGAGAAGAAGTCACTGAACTTAGAAGAAAATATACAGAATTACAGCTGGAAGTAGGTTCTATAACAGCTACACAGTTTACTTGAAAGAAGCCGCAAGTATGGCTAACATAAAAATGTGTTTTTTGACTAGCTAACAATTATTGACTATGATAGATGATAGATAGATAGATAGATAGATAGATAGATAGATAGATAGATAGATTGATAGATTCATAGATAGGTAGATGTAAGTATATGTATGGATATTGAGGTAGGAGGCAGAAAAGAGGCTAATTAATTTTACAAAAGTACTGGTGAAAATACTTTCAAACAGCAGTTTTAAATTTGCTTGTTTATTTATTTGCCTATGAATATCAGAAGACAGTTTGTAGGAGTGGGTTCATTCCTTTTGCTGTGTAGTCTCAGGGATTGTGCTCCCTACTTTGACCCTCTGATATGCCATGCTGGCCTGAGAAACTGCTGTTGGTGACACACTGCTTCTGCCTATATACTCTGGTTTCTCCATTTCTCCTGAATTTTAGTTCTTCTTTGGTTTTTATTCTCATTTTCTTCTTGGGGTTAAATACAATTAAAGGCTTGATAGGTATTTGTATGGAATTACTCTGTGTCATATAGGCATGCTGTGCTGAATTGCTGAAGATGAGAGAGTTATAAATCTGTTGAAAAAGTGCATATTTAAGTTTTGCCTATAGATGGTGCTGTGGGTGTTTTAGAAGAGAAAAACTACCTTATAATTTAGTTACATGGTTATTATATGAGAAACTTCTAGTGAAATTGATCTATTAAAAACATGGATGTTTAATATTTAGTAAAAATGTTTAAACATTAGTATTATATCACAAAATGGGAAACTATTAATGTCAATATTCACAATTGCTTGATCCAATTTAAGGTGTTTTAAATAATATTTTAGGTTATTTAACTTATTTTGAGTATGCTTTTCTTTTTTGTTGTTTTGGTTTTTTGAGACAGGGTTTCTCTGTGTAGCCCTGGCTGTCCTGGAATTTGCTCCGTAGACCAAGCTAGTCTCGGACTCTGGTCCACCTGCCTCTTCCCAAGTGCTGGGCTTAATGGTGTTTGCCACCATGCCCAGTGAGTATACTTTCTTATAAGTTTTGTTGACACTGATTTTTTTTTCTCACCTTACAATGCAGTAGAAATTTATTTAGTGCTATGCAAGTATTTAAAGTTTATGACATCTGCTGCATAGATCTTACCTGAGAGTTAGAAAAAGCTGTGAAATGTCATCATAACATGCATACAAGTGAATTTTCTTGAAACATGATCTGTTTTGCCTTTATATTCTACCCAAAATAATTTAAAAATTGTTTTCCCCATATGAATATTCCATGCCATTGATAATGTAAAAAAGAAATATAATTTTGAAATTTTTGATAAATAATTCTAGTAAATAAATAACATAAAAATAACTGTTCCTTTGCTTGTTGTAATTCAGCCAAAGATGAAATGATATTTTCTGATTTTCTGTGATGATTCAATTTTGGTTTGCAGCCAATACTTATATATACAGTAATGCAGCAGATGCCAGAGTATGCTCGTCACAGTAATTCTTCTATTGCTTGTTAATAGAGATTAGTGAACAAGAATTTTAAGATCAAATACATTTTTATAAGGTCATGTTGAATATGCTGTTTGACTCTAGGATTTCTTGGAGGCTTTTAGTTTGAATCTACAAATTATAGGCTATGAAAGCTTAATTTTCAGGGAGCATCTGTGAGTCAGTAACACTCTTCAAGTCATACTTTTGATATCTTTACTCTCATGAACTTTTTTTGCTGTGTTTTTTTAAGACAGGGTTTCTCTGTGTAACCCTGACTGACTTGGAACTTGCTCTGAAGACCAGGCTGGCTTCCAACTCACAGAGATCCTCCTGCCTCTGCATACCAAAGTGTTGGCATTAAAGGCCTATGCCACCACTGTCCAGCTAACCTTTTCCCCTTTAAATTTATTGTTTTGTTTAATATTTTTTAATTGACCAGTTAAGAATATTATATGTGTATGGTATATGACATGGTGTTTCGATACATGTTTACATCAAGGGATGAATTATCAAAGTAATTTATCCATCACCTCACATACTCAAGATCTTATGAAAAATAAATTTAAAAATTTCCTTCCCTAATTTTTTTCAGATATATCACATGCTTTTATCAACTGTATCACCATGCTATAAAACAGATGGTACAGTTTATTCTGTTGTATGTTTTGACCAACATTTACCCATTCTCCACACCAACACAGCACTTGCTAATAGCCATTCATCTGTTTCTATGAGATTGCTGTTTAAATTTATGCATGTAAATGAACTCTTACAGTAGTTATCTTTCTGTGCCTAGTTTATTTCACGTAGCATTGTTCTTTGATTTTATGTTTATTTTTGGTAATGTGAGGATTTGTTTTTACTCGGATGTCATATATGCATGATCATTGTGCTTACCTTGCTTCTGAAGTTTGTATATATAGTTACTCAAACTAGAAATGTTGGGAGACTCTTGATTGTTTTAACCCTTTGTTCAACCTCCATATCCAGTTAATTGCCAAATTTCTTACTCCCAAATTTTGTTTTATTTTTGAATGCATGTTTGCCTATATGCATGTGTATGTATGTACTACATGCATGCATGGCAACCATATAATATTGGATCCCCTAGGACTGTCAAGGAGCTTGTGGGTACGCAAAACTGAACTCAAGTCCTGTGCAAGGGCATCTCTTAGTAATTTACCTGTCTAGAAACTCAGTTTGTGTATTTGGCGTTCATGTATTTGTGTACATGTTGTATGTGTGTGCGTGCTAATGCATGTTTGGAGGCTAGAGGCCCAAAGTTAGTGTTGGGTGTCTTCCTCAATCCCCTTTTTTTTTCTTTCTTTCTTTTTCTCTCTTTTTTTTCCCACAAGAGTTGACTGGGCCTGAAGCTCATTGATTTGGCTAGGCTACTTGGCTGGCTAGCAAGGCCTAGGATCTCCTTGTCTGTGTCTCACTGGTTGCTGAGATTACAGTTGTAGACTATGATGTCCTTGTTATGCAGGTGCTTAAGGTTGAACTTAACTCTCATGCTTGTGGTAAGCAGTTTAATGACTGTGCCCAACTGCACAACCTGAACATGCACTGAGGTTAAGGACTACTAACACAGGTGTTTATGAAATATTTGTGGAATGAAGGAATGGTCTACCACGCAATAGAAAATTGTGTGACAGAATAATAATCTGTATTTGTTCTATGGTGTGGTCAAATAATGAATTTGAGAAAACTTACCAGTTGAGTCTGCTGACAATGAAATAACATTTATTTGAAAATTACATAAAACTTGAAGGGCTGGGCTATAGTTCAGTGTAAAATGTTATTTGTGAGGGTCATGCTGTAGTATGTACTGACATGACTTGATGTCCGATGCTCTTGTGTTACTAAGAGATCCAGAGTTACCAGTCTTTTCTCATGTCCTTGGCGTCTTAGAGTATGAACGGAGTTTGGAAGGGAAGAAGGGTAAGGTGGCAAGATAGCTGTAATGTTGCCTGGTAGCAGGCCTGATGCCTTGAATTTGTTCCTTGGGACCTGTGTGATGCAAGGAGACATAGAGTAATGCAGTGAAATTGTTATATTTTAAATACTTTGAGAGACCACATTTAGTAATCTTCGAATCTTTAATGTTATATGATTATCTAAATAGTCTCTCAGACGGCATAAAAGTTTGAACCATTTTCGAATATATAACACTTAGCCTGAGTTAACACAGGTGTAGTATTCCTAATTTGAAACTTGGTATGCTCAACAGTAAAGTCCATGCAAATATTTCAAAATCTGTAACTCTGAACTCAGAAACACAGTGTTAATCATTTTAGATTAGAGGTCTCTGTACACCACATTGTGTAACTTATGTGCTTCTTCTCCTTTAGGCTGCTAAAAGAGGAATTCTTTCATCTGGCCGAGGTAGAGGAATCCATACACGAGGTCGAGGGGCAGCTCATGGCCGGGGCAGGGCCAGAGGTCGAGGACGAGGTGTGCCTGGACATGCTGTGGTGGATCACCGGCCCAGAGCATTGGAGATATCTGCTTTTACAGAGAGTGATAGAGAAGATCTTCTTCCTCACTTTGCGGTACTTTCTTACCACTAGCAAAATAATAATAATAATTGTGATTCGGGTTTATAGATACAAGGAAAGAAAGAATTATGAAAATGACATGTATAATTTAAACCCAGTGATAATCAGGGCTTCCTTAATCAATAGTAATCTGTTATTTTTAGTTATAAAATAGAAACAGGGTCTGTTTGTTTGTTTGTTTGTTTGGGGAAAATACTATATATATATATATATATATATATATATATATATATATATATTTTTTTTTTTTTTTTCCCCTTGAGGTAGGTTTTTCAGTATAGCCCTTGGTGACCTAGAACTCATTCTGTAGACTAGACTGGCCTCAAATTCACTGACTCTGCCTCCCCAGTGCTGGGAGAAGAGGTGTGTGCCACCACTGACCAGCTGAAATGTTACAATTCTTAAACTAGATAGGCCTTTCAAGAGTATAAGATTAATGATCTAAGCTTTGTTATTTCAGAGAGGAGCCTCAGGAGTAGGCTTATTGATAATTTAAAGGAAAGTTGGCATATATATATATATATATATATATATATATATATATATATATATAGACCATCCATATTTTTAAATATGAAACTACAGTTTTGCTAATATTATGCTCTTGATAGAGTTGAACAGCACTGAAGCGAGATACACTTTTGATGTATGATATAAAAGTTCCATATTCATATCAAGGGTACAATATAAGAGAGTTTATGTAATGGTGATACAGTGGTTTGAAAGAGAAGGAGATTCTAGTCCCTGTTCATTAAATATTTGAACTTCTGGGGTTCATTAGGCTAATGTGCAGAGTGGAGAGTATACCCCACATTACCCTTTCATCTTAACTTTTTCAATTTTTAGTGTTATCGGAACTTAAGTTACTAAACACCAGTTTTATCCTGATTATTGTGGTAATTCCTTCAGAGAAGAAGAGTCATCAGTTCTTCACTCTCAGTGCTTTTAGATACTTTGGTTTGGCACAAATCAGCTGATGTAAAGTAAAGCTTATTAAACACTTAAACCTCTGTGACTCGGAGGTTTATGTTTACTCTGGCATATGACGAAAAGATCAGTAGAGAAAAGCATAACAATTAGTAAAACTGAAACGGAGAACAAGAAGACTAGGTAAAATTTTGACATAAAGATGACCTCATGTTTTAGAAATTTATATTTCAATGTTTGACGCTTATAATACTATATGACTATAAGGAAGTTTTAAAAGAAATAAATGATGGATGTATAAGAAATAACTGAAGTGATTAGTATTTAAGGCTGAGGAGTCTGGAGAGTCCTGTGCTCGTTGGGTTCAGAGGGACAAAGAATGAGAACTAGAGAGGTGCTTGGAGATAAAGCCCAGCTCTTCCCTGCTGTTTGCCACTTCCGCAAAGAAAAGGAGGTCCAGATAGTTAAGTGTCTTGCATTTAGGTACTCAGCTGATTCGGGGCTAACAGTAGCTATAATACAAAGGTGAGTTTGCTCTAATCGTGTTTTGCTGAGACTAGGAGGCTCGAGAAATAAATATTCAGAAACTTATAGTAGAAATTGTTTCATAAATAGAGGTTTGGAGCTCTGTTCAATGTTGGTAGTCATAACTTACCCGCCAAAAATACTTTTGTTAAGAAAGAGTACACATTTCAAAGTTTAGCTTTTTTTTTTTTTTTATCTCTGAGCATAAGAGAGAGATATAAAGGACCATTGACTGTTAAAACAACTGTGGTTAGCAAAATGCTCTTTAAAATTTATCCAGTGAGACCAGTAGTAATAGTAAGAAAAACAGCTAAAACTTTAAGGGATATTAGGAATTATTTGAGTTACTTACTGCTGATTTAGTCAGGGCTCTCAGGAGGAACAGAAACAGTGGTTTCACACACACACACACACACACACACACACACACACACACACACGGTTGGGGGCGGTATTTAGTAGAATGGTTTACAGGCTGTGGTCCAGCTAGTTCAACAATGATTATCTATACTGAAGGAAGGTCCAGGAGTCTAGTAATTGTCCAGTTCACAAGGCTGGATTGTCCAAGCTGGATATACACTGGAATCCCAAAGATACAGACTATTTATGCTGGAGAAGTTGTAGTCTTGCTAGTGAGAAGCGGTAACAAGTAGGCAGACCGAACCAGCTTCCTTCTTTAATGTTCTTTTTATAAGGTGCCTATAGAAGGTGTAGTCGAGATTAAAGGTGTATCTTCCTACTCCAAAATAACTAGATTAAAGATATATATTCTCACTTCAGAGATCCAGATTAGGAGTGGGTCTTCCCACTTCAAATAATTTAAATAAGGGAAAGCTCCTCACAGGTGTGCCCAGCCCTTGGGTTTAGTTAATTCCAGATGTAGTCAAATTGATATCAAGAATAGCCTTTATTTTGCCCATTTGATAGATGAGGAAATGAAACCTGAAGAGATTAAGTAACTTGTTCAAGTTAAATTCATTCACAAAATTTGTATTAATTAGTGCATAGTTGTAGTTTTATTTCCAAACGAGAAGGAAGGTATTAATAATGTATAAAGGACTAATTTTTGTGTAGCAAAATTGCTGTTTAGAAAAAAATAATCTTCCTTTATATGGGAAAAATGCAACAAATTCCAATCAAGCATTATATAATATGCTTAGCATATTGTGTGTTCCATAGTAGAATGCATAGTAAGTGAACTCAGTTAATATTAAACATGTAAATCAGAAGTTTTGTACCTTTATCTTGATAATTTGCTTGACTGCTTAGAAAAATTGCTTGAATTCTCTCAATCTTTTTCCCCTTTATTGGAAATGATACTATTTCATAGTTTGTTTTGATGATTCAGTATGCTGTTTTAAAAAAAATTTACCTCATTCTGAGGTTGGAATAATAAAAAAGGTCGGTAAACAGGCTTTGACCATTGTTTTCTCCATTATAACTCAAATAGAGTATAGTGCTACTAATTCTGAAAGTACAGGATAAAGCTGAGGTTGGAAGATAGGATTTAAGGAAATGAATTACTTGTCTCTCAGTCAGTATGGATTATTATGTATTCTGGATTGTGCTTATTAGTATTCAAATGCCATTGGGGGTTTTAGATGTTTCAGAACACTTTTAGGAAATAATTTGTTAATTTACAGCAATATGGTGAAATTGAGGATTGTCAGATTGATGATGCTTCACTTCATGCGATAATTACATTCAAGACAAGAGCAGAAGCAGAAGCTGTAAGTATTAAAATGTTATTAAAATTTCAGGTTTAAATGATTAGTGTTTAAGTTTTAATATAAATTATTTTTCAAGGTTACTGAGTAACTGTAATCTTGACAGAAGGTAGAAGATTTTAAGTGTAAGTTCATGTCCACAAAATTGTCCTTATTTTCTTAGGAAATCTGTATATAATGTAATGTAATATAATATAATATATAATAATATGTATTAAATTTGACATCAAGGTGATTTTAAGACAACATTAACTTGAAGATATCAGTTCTTTTTATAGACGTTAGGGCCACTAATATTTACTGTTTTATCAGGTCCAGAACAAAGTCTGAATTAGTAGAATGAATGGTAACAGTTACCTAAGGTAGATGCAGAGAAAGTAGAATTCTGTTGCCCACACCTTTTATTTTTCTTTTAGCTACTAGTTTCCGGTCCCAGCAGGATGAGTGCTAGAAAAGCATCTCTTGCTTAGCACACTGATGAATAGACTGCTGTTATTTGTCCAAGAGACAATATGTGGCTCTAGCCTTTAGAGTTATTGTAATATTGTTATCTTAATCTGTATAGTTTGAATTCTAATTTTTTGTTGTTTGTTTCGAAACAAGGTCTTGTTATGTAGCTCTGGCTGTCCTAGAATGCACTATGTAGTCCAAGATGGCATTAAACTCACTGAGGTCTACCTGCCTCTGCCTCCCAAGTGCTGGGATTAAAGTCATACACCACCACCACGCTCCTGCACTTGAGTTGTTTTTTAAAAGACAGCTCAGAAGTGTCTTCAGTGTGTGTGTGTGTGTGTGTGTGTGTGTGTGTGTGCGCGCGCGCGCGCGCGCGCGTGTGCGCACACACACTGTATGCAGTTTGTACGTGTGCCTCCATGTGTGTTCATGTGCTTGGGGAGACCAGAGATTGAGGTCCAATGTCTCTTCCTTGATTGCTCTCATATTGCGGTTGGCGCTCTAACTGAGCTCAGCTTTATCTAAGGACCTGGAATGCTGGGATTACTGCTGGAATGTCACGCTTTCTTGGCATTTACATGGATGCTAGAGATCTGAAGTCTTGTCCTCATGCTTGTGTGGGAAATACTTTAACCTGTAAGTTATCTCCAAAAAGAATAGGAAAAGGAAGTGGACTGTGTTATATTGGGGCAGGGGTGAACTTTTTTTTTTTTGCCTGTGGATTCTTTAAGACGTTATAAAAGCCAGTGTTGTTTGTCCTTGATATTAAATCAAGATAATTTAATGTGAATGGAAGATGAAGATTTCTTTCTAAAGCTTTTGAGTTGGTAATTAAATGAGTTTTTTGACAAACCTACCTCGTCATTGTAAGTGAATACTCCAGTCAGCACCATTGAACATTGCTAAGAGCTTATTGAGGAGTCACTTCCAGGGCATTTTAACAGGTGAAAGACTAGATCTCATTGGTCTTAGAAACATGTTTAGCTGGAACCCTGAAATAATCTAGTAATGGGGTGAAGATGTTGTCACAGGGAGATTATTTTGTCAAATAATGTGGGTTCATCTTTTAAAATACAGGGTTTTTGTTTGTTGATGCTGGAGATTAAGCTCCAGCTTAATTTTATGCAGGTTCATCAGGAGCTCTACCCTTTCATTGCAACTCTAGATCCAAGTCTAAATCTGGGTTTTTTATGTTAAGACTTTTTGTTTATGCTGTGGTGGCACATGCCTTTAATCCCAGCACTTGGGAGGCAGAGGCAGGTGGAACTCTGCGTTCAAGGCCAGCCTGGTCTACAGAGTTTCATATACAGAGGAAGTATATCTTCAAAAACAAAAACAGGACCTGTTTTAAAAGATGTGATCAGTTAAAACATTTTTGTGTATATATTAGGTAGAACTTTAATAAAATTTTCTCTGAGAGGTGTTAGTAAGGACAAATTATTTCAAATTTAGAATGATGGTTTCAATGACAAATAACGTCTCTATTTATTTTCTAGGAAGCAGTGATATTATTTTAAAGGGGGTAGTTGTACACAGCTGCTTCAAATATCACCAAGTTTGTGGATCTCATGAGAACTGTGTGTATTCATGTATGCATGTGTATGTGCATGCGTGTGTGTGCTTCGGGACAAGGGTGATGTCTGGTTTCTTGTGATAGCCCCCTGTGTTTTGAGGCAGCGACTCTTCACTGAACTGGAAGCTGGTTTGGCTGAACTGGGTGGCAGTGAGACCGCAGGGTTCTGTCTGTCTTTTTATCACCGCACCAGGTCACAAACCTGTACTGCCATACCTCACTTTTTTGCGGGTGTGGAGATCTAAATTATGAGCCTTATGCTTGCTGAGCAAACCCTTCCACCACTAAGACATCCCTCTAGCACCTAAGGACTTCAGATAGAGATGTGCTGTTCTCAGTGCTTACATTTCTAAGAGGGAAAAACAACTTTTTTTTTTTTTTTATTACTCGGAGTGAGACCTAATTGACATAAGTTCTTCATAGTTTTTGCCCTTTCTACCTCAGACCTGTATTTTTATACAATATGCATAGTAAACAAAATAACATTTAAGGAATAAAGATACTTAACACTTGAATTATATAAAGGTTGAGTAAGGAATAGATACGCTGCTATTATATAAACACTTAGAATTAAGTTATGAGTTGTTTGATCATGAACATATTTTAAGCCAAAAAAATGTTGAAATTTTATACTGTTTTGAAAAGAATGGAAAATTAAGTTAAAACTTAAATAAGCAAGGTATAGATAAATTATTTTGAAACTTCTGGATTTCAGAGAACAAAATATTTAAGAATTTAAAATTTAATTTTTTTACGTAGAATGAAACACTTTGGTTTCCTAAGGAAGAATATAAAATATATAAGTGATTGCCACTTATTTTCACCAGCATGTCATAAAATAAAAGAATTTTGACATAAAAGTATAAGATGTCATGAATTCAGGATGAAGGGTAGGCCTTTTGAGGAAAGAAGTTGTCAGATTTTGCTAATGTTCTTTTTTTTCTGCTCCATTTTTTCTAGATTCAATGAACATTTTAATTTTCTACATCTAATAATATTAAACGTGAAAATCCTACAAGAATAATATGACTGAAATAATGCATATTATGTACACATACACACACACACAAACACACACACACACATACACACACATACACACACACATACACCCACACACACGGATTTTACAGGCTCACAAAAGGGCTGTTTTCAAGCTCAAAATCAAGTCAGGTGGTGGTGGTGCACACCTTTAATTCCAGTATTGGGTTGGCAGAGGCAGAGGAGGGTGGATCTCTTGAGTTTGAAGCCAGCCTAATTTACAAAGGGAGTTCCAGAACAGCCTGGGCTGTTACACAGAGAAACCCTGTCTTGAAAAACAAAAGAAAAAAAACCCACAAAATAAAACATTATTAAATGGTGTTTGGGTTACCTGTGGGGGTGGGGCATGCCGATGACAACGACACAAACCAGGGCATTTTAACTCACCTTTTAAGTTTTAAATTTTTAAGTTGGTAAAACAAAACAGAATAGAAAATACCTGTTAGCTAAAGTCCATGGGAAATCTGAGGAAAGCCTGACTGAACAAAACCCAGGACCCTGCCTCAAGAAAACTCAAAGCAGGACTGGAGAGACGTCTCGGCAGTTAAGAGTACCTTAACTGTTGTTAAGTACCTGTTGTTCTTCAGATGACCCGTGTGAATTACAGTGCCGTTTAGCAGACCACACCACATGTAACTCCACCCTTAGGGGTTCTGACACCCTCTTCTGGACTCTGGTCATCTCCACATATATAGCATACACTTGTGTGTGCACACATGAAAAAGAGAGACAGAAACAGTAGATCTAAAGAAGAGGTGCCTGCGGGAATGGCTCAGTCAGTAAAGTGCTTGCTGTGCAAGACATGAGGACCCAGCTTCTGATCTCCAGCACACTGCAAAGCTAGCCATGGCAAGTGAGTCTGTGATCCCATCATTGGGCAGGTTGACACAGCTAGAAACCTGGGGCTTACTAGCAAGTCAGCAATTCTAGCCAGATTGATGAGCTCTATGTTTAATGAGAGGTCTTGTTTTAAAAAAATAGGGTGGAGAGTAACTGGGACATACTGTATCAACTGCTGGTCTACACATACATATAAACGTACATGCAAAGGCATTCAGGTATGTACCACTAGAACAATAAACAGGTACACAAAGGTGTTTTAAATATTACCTTAGTATAGTGAGGGCTTTTTAAAAAGTTGTAGCATGATATTTATAAAAGAAGAAGCTGCTTAATTTAATACATAACAATTTTAAACTTTTTTTAAATCAAAGAAAAACTGCTTTCTAAAAATATAATTTAAAAAAAATTAAAGAGGCTGGAGAGGTGGCTCGGTGGTTAAAGTGAATACTGCTCTAGCAGAGAACCCAAGGCCAGTTTCTACTAATATCTGAAGCTTACAACACCTGTAACTCCAGCTCCAGGGGATCCTGTGTCCCCTTCTGACTTTGCACTGTACTCTGTCTTAAGTTGTTGATATAGTGGTGGTTATCTCTTTAGGCTTTTATACTATGTGTCTTAACATTTGAAAAATTTAAAAATATAAAATGAAGCTAGGTGTGGTGGTGTACTTACTTAATCCCAGCACTAGAGAGGCAGAGGCATACAGATTTCTGAGTTTGAGACCAGCCTGGTTTTTAGAGCAAGTTCCAGGACAGCCAGGGCTGAAAAACCAAAACAGGTTAAAAAAATTAAGCAAAAATAAAAATAAATAAATTGGTAGATAAATGTTTTACATACATGAATAAATGGATAAATTACAGAATTTATATTGTAAATTATATGAAATATATACTGGTTTACAGAAGTCATAAATAGGTATTGCTATGAAAATAATGTGAAATATAATGTTTCTTATTACATCAGAAAAGCTTAGGCTTATTGAATAAACTTTCAGCTTCAGGGATCAAAGATTCAAAGTTGTTTCACAAGTTTATGTAGCTTGAATTGTCAAATATTTCTGATGAACAAAAATCATTAAAAATGTAATATACCTAGTTTTTTTTAAAAAAAAACACACACAGTAACAAATTTTATTGTTTTATTCTTGAAAAATTTCCTACAAGTATGAAATGAAATATATCTACTCTTACTTTTTTCCTCTACCTCCCTCTAAATCCCTCCTGACAAGTACTTCTCCCAACGTGATATCATTGTTGTCTGTTTTTTGGGGGTAACCCACAACTAAGTCCTGTTATTGCTGCTCGTGTGTGTAGGGTATGACCATCTCCTGAGGCAAGGGAGCCTGGCAGTGGAAATGTCTTCAACAAAGAAGCTTCTCACTACCCTAGAAACTATCAACCACAAATAACTTCTAAGTAAAGGCTGGGGCTTGGGCAATACTTCTTTCTATGAGGACTTTGGGCTATCTTGATCTCGAGCAAGTAATCACAGCTGCTAGGAGATCATGATTGTAATAGTGGTGTCATATCAGGAAGACAGCATTTTATGGCAGTTCTCATCTTCCAAATATTAATAATCTTTCTGCCTTCCTCAATGTTCCTTAAGCCTGGGAGGTTGATAAAAATGCCTTATTAAAGACTGAGCACTTTGACCAATTATTAACTGCTGCTCATTGGAAAAAAAAAAAAAAAAGGTTGAGAGCACCCTGGGTCTGTGAATACACGTGTAAATATTTAGGGTGTAGTTTGACAACATGACCATTGAACAAACTAACAATAGGCTGTTTCCAAGGACCTCTGACTTCCAATTCATGGACTTTTGTCCAGGCTTATAGTACCAGACGTGAAATTTCACCTATGGGCAGGCCTGATGAAATCCAGTCAGAAAATAGTTTTGTCACTATTATACGAGTAGGCATATCTTTTCTGACAGGTCAGAATTGGCATGTAGACTCTAGTGATGGGAAGACCAATGATGTCTTCTCTTCCCCAGCAGCCTGCATAGTATCTTCTAGTACTATACTAGCCAGCAGGGAACTAGTTTATAGATTAGATTTTTTTGTTCTGCAGTCAGAGTATGTAGTTCTCTTCAGCAGCAGAGTCTTGTTACGGAGTTACTATCAGGGACAAAGAATGATGGCCTTGATGGTGTTTTGGTGACCTTCCAGCCTTCCCTCCGGTTTTAAAAAAAAAAAAGTAGTTAAAAATTCACCTTACAAATTTGAAATGTGTGTTGAATATAGAAATGATGCGATTGGGTTGTTAGAAATAATCTGTCACCTCTTGTTGAAAGATGCAGTGTTGTATAGGTTGCAGTTGAGTAGGAAGCTGAAGCAGGAGCAGTGTGAGTTAAGTCTAATGTGAGTGTTGCACAGTAAAGACCTTTCTTCAGAAGCAAAAACAACTCCACATCCAAATTTACAGTAGACATTGCTGTTCACAGTTTTGTGATTTTTCCATATTTTAATAAATGGGGAAAAAGCTTTATAAGTATTTTGCATGTGGCATTTGTTATTTCTTAACTGTAATATACTTTATGTAATGATTTCAGCTTGAAATTTCAGTTTTTTTCTGAACTAAAATATAAATGCATTTTTAAGTTGTGTGGCATTGTGATAAAGCATGAACTAAAAACTCAGCTGAATTTTAGTAGGCATGAAATCTTTTAAATTTATCATAAATTTATATGTACAGATTTAAATTTGTTTGTTGGGGCATTAATGCCACATACAACTCATGTTCAGAAGTCATTGAATATGTAATTGTTCCTACACTTCATATTATTTAGTACTTTTGAGTTTGTGCTAAAATCTTTGGGAACATGAATTACTAAAAATGTTGCTAATACTAATTCATGTTACTTTAAATATGGTGTCTTTCAAACTAGCTACTGACTAGAGCAAGAACATAGGCTTGACCATTTCTTGAGTTCAACTGCCATCAGTTACAAAATACTGAACTTTTCTGTAGGAAAATTCAGATTTGGTACCTTCCCTTTTTCTTAAGATGTTTATATTTTGCATTAGTTGTGTGCTTTTGATCATTAATTTGAAAATTAATGTCAACTTTATATGCAAATTTACTTTTGTTAAAGGTTTCTAGTTAATTACATATATATGATGTAAATTAGCATATAAAATTAATTTGGTCTGTTGATCTTAAAATAGACATTGATTCAGAAGCTAGAGCCAAAATCTTGTGGTATATTGGTATTGTTGTTTAAATAGTAGTAACTATTGTAATGTAAACTGAGAAACATTTTTTCCCCTTAGATTTTGGCTGAGTGAAATAGTACTTGATTATGAGAAATTGTTGTTTACTTTAAAAAAATTTTTTTTATATCACTAGTATGATTTTAGGAAGTAAATAACTGTAATAGTAATTATAGTAAATTGAGTTAAATAAACAAACAGCAAATAAGTAACTTTTTGAGTTTAACGTTTTAATATTAGGCATTTAAAACATTCAATTTTTCTTCAGAAATTGTTAATGTTCTTTACTCCCATATTCTTTTAGGCAGCAATTCATGGAGCTCGTTTCAAAGGGCAGGATTTAAAACTGGCATGGAATAAACCAATACTTAATATTTCAGCTGTGGAAACCGAAGAAGTTGAACCTGATGAAGAGGAAGTATGTTGTATTTTTTTATTTGTTTTCCCATCATTATTCATAATTCATTTATAAAAAGTTATTTATTTATTTATTTGCTTATGGCTGTGATTTAACATAATACTTTTATTCCTAAGCCATATTCCAGACAGGGGAGATCAGATAAATACAGACAACTTTATATGTTCTGGATTAATGAGAAGAATTGTGGATTGCCAACCCCAAAAGAATATGTGCTATATCAGTTTTCAATAACTATAAAAGATAATAATTCTTCATTAGAGTTTTATTCACAGGAAATTTGGTGATAATATGTTAAGTTCTAGGGTATTTATTTTACTCAATTGCTGTATCAACATTTCAGCCTTCTTTTTAAATTCATATTGCTATAGTTCATTAGAGTGGCTACCTGCTATGTGGTAGATTTTGTGATAGGCACAAAAATGAATAAGACACGGTCCCTGTCATCAAGGAGCTTATAATCTGGAAAGGAGGGTGGTGGCAGAAACAGAAGAAAACAATTACAATATCAGGCATACTGATGTGCCGAATGAAGACGATTTGAACAACATGCTGTAGGAACCCCTAGGAAGAAATGCTTATGTCTGTCCATAATAATCTCAAAGGTCTATTGCCAGTAGAGCCAAGCCCTGAATGATAAGTGTTCTGTAACAGTGATGTGGTGGGGCTAGGAATGTAGTGGAGAAAAGCATTTTCAGCAGAATTCTACCTTCAAAATAAGCATGGGAGATTGCAGTTTTCTCAGGTAACACTAGCTAGTCAGTGGACTAAAAGGTATGACAGGGCAGGAGTGGTAGTGGATTTAAAAAGCACTTGAGACAGAAAAGATTTAAAATAAGCAATTCTGTTTTGCTTAATTATGAAAAAAGTTATGGGAAAAATTTGAAGAAGTTAAAAAGTAAAGGTAAGGTAAAGAAACTAAAAGATTCTGTTTTGCATTTGTTAGATTTCCGTAATGCTACTTCATTTTGTTTGCAGAGCATTTCAAGTCTGTTACACATATCCATAGTCAAATGCAAGAATAAATGTGTATTTGAAACTCATGTACATGATTTGTCATTTTATATTTTAGATTATACCTTTGTCCTTCCATGAGTTTGAATTGAATGGGGAGAAAAGCAGGAGAGCTCCTGGTATTAGGTATTTTGAAAAGTTTGGGAAGCAGTCTGAGAATCTTTTATGAAGGGAATGGGGAAAAGGAAGAGGTGGCTTTTTTTTTTTTTTCTTTTAATAAAAAGGTTTGCTACATAGCAAAAAGAATCGAAATTTTAGGATTATGTCATTGGTTGAGTGTTAAGAGTTAGGGTAAGTCAGTGAAAATGTATTCCTTTTTTAAAGAAGTGTTGAGCATTGTTTTGAAGTACAGAAGATGACATGATTTGTTAGAGTAGGAGAAATGGCATGTACACACTCTTAATTTGATATTTATTGCTTACTTCATGTAAGCAGTAGAACATACTGTAAAGAGATGGAATGGATAAGACCTGCTTTACGCTGTTTTCTTAAGTGCTCTAGCTATAGAAATAACCACTTGCATTCAACTCTTGAGAGAGAACAGTGTTTAAAAGTGTTACATTTTTTTTTCTTTCTTTTCTTTTTTTCTTTTTTTTTTTTTTTTTTTGGGTAAATTCCTAAATACATCTTAACCTAAAGTTTCAGGAAGAGTCTTTGGTGGATGACTCATTACTTCAAGATGATGATGAAGAAGAAGAGGACAATGAATCTCGTTCTTGGAGAAGATGATTTGACTGATCATTGATCTGCATATGCTAGAACTCTACCTGTGTTTCATTAGTATTATCTAATGTACTTTTACATATTTGTAAAAACAATTTTTGGTAAAATATGATGAAGATGATTTCACAAATAGATAAAAGAGAAGAAAACTACCTTCTGATCTTGTATTTTGAAGATTGATGTTTGCATTTTATTTCAGTAAACAATTGCTAAAGATATCACAATAGAACATATGCAATGTTTTTATTACATACTTCTATTGAACAATACAGAATTCTTTGAGTTATTTGTAAATTAATGAATAGATTTGAATACTTATGACCCAGTATTTGTTATAACATAGAGGATTTTGTTTTACTCCAAATAAGGAATGAATTTGCATTTAAAATCTTAATGAATGTTTTCAGAAATGAATAGATGACATAGTATTCTAAAGTCTCCAAGTTATGTATTCATAATATTGCATAGTAGTATGCTTAGGCTTTACTATGTATTAGCCATTTGTTGGATTTGTGTATGTATTTTATCACATGGGTGTTAATGATAATGGTGTATGACTGCTTTACATATGAGTCCTTATGCATCTGGATGCTAAAAATAAAGTGGAATGGTCTCTTAAAAGAAAAAAGAAAAGAAAAAAATAATGACAAAAAAAAAAAAATTCCATGACAATGTTCCTTGATTTAAAAGAAAAAAAAAAAAAAAAAAGAAAAGAAAAAAAAAAAAAAAAGAAAATGAAACAGACCATTCCAGATGGTGATCTGCCTTCCCCTGATTATCAGAAGGAGCTATAATCACTAAATAATAATGGTTACTGGTACCTTTACAATGATGTACAATCCAATGTTTAAAATTTATCCACTTCAGTTTGGTTTGATCATATAAATTTTCAACAGATGTCTTAAAATTTAAAAGCAGGCTGATTAGTTTGGAACCAGACTTCAAGTAGCGCTAACATTTGGTGAATAAGACAACTTCATGTTACATTTTGGATGTATGAAAAGAAAACTTGACCATTTGAAGATGTATGAATAAAGAAATATACTATAGATACTACTTTAGGAAAACACTGTTTGGTAAGTGTTCCAGTCTGATATTTTAAGTGTGCATTTACTATACTTATATAAAAATCTTTCACATTTGCACCAATATTGTGATTTTTTTTTTAAGTGGATTTCTCTGGCACGTGAATATAATATTGAAAGTTAACTAAACGTTTTTCAGAAAATATATTCTTTGTAGAATGAGGGTAGGAGATGACTAGATTATTGTATTTTTAAAAATCTTTATATTTAAATATTTTCGCTTCTCAAGATTATGGTGATTTTTTTTTTTTTAAACTGTATTTTAACAGGACTACTTTTTTTCGTTTTCGGACCAACACAATCCAAAACTAATCCCACCAGTACCAGTCTTCAGCCATCATATAACTTGTATAATATTTTTGTGTCTTTTCCCCCTTACACTTGGGGTTATATTTGTGTGTTTTTTAATGGCAATACTATTTTTTAGGAATGTTTAACTTGCAATTAGTACACATTTAAAATTTCAAACTCAGATTCCATTTGCTAAAATAATGACTCTAAAGTTAACATAGACTGTGGTATATTTTTATGTAGTCTCTTGTATGTTTGCTATGTGCTATTCTGATTCATTAGGTAAGTTTGTTTTCTTTTCTTTTTAGTAGTCGTGAAAGATGCCAAATTGGCAGAGGCTCACGTTTCTTCTCTTTACACCAAACAGGTATTATAAAGAAAGTAAATCTTTCCAAGGCCAGTTAAATCTCCAGTCTAATTTTGGCTTTATGGTTTGATGATAGTTTCAAAATTTATTATAAAATTCCCTAGAAATATAAATGAAATTACCAGTTCTATTCAGTAAAGCTCATAAATAGCTCATCAATTTCTCTAGCCTGAAATTGCCCAGTAACTTAAGAGTTTAAAATATTTTAAGCCATGGTGCTTTGAATGGTTCAGAAGACCAAATATGACTTGCTTTGGTGCCCTAGTATGAGGATTACATATTCCCAGTATTAGGTTCACAGGTGTACTTTTATAAGCATGAACCTGCATTTCATTATTAATGTTATTTAGTGATGTGTTGCTATTGGGTTTTCATCAGTATGTTTCTAAAGTCTAGTACTCTACATACACGTTGATATTTTCATTTAAAACCTAGGACATCTTATTATAAAGTAGGTGGTAGTTCTAAGTTTTTAATAAGAAAACAGGTTGTTAGAAATGGAGTGATTTACCTAAAGTCATAGACAATCTAGTAGAAATACTAGATTGTCAGTATAGGCATTTTGTGATTTCAGTACCAACTTCACAAAAGAAGGAAGAAACAAATTACAGAACTCTGCTGCTGTCTCCTTCCTAATTACTGATCAACCATGAGATTGTGTTTATAGTAATCATGGTAGGCTTTTTACTTCCAAAATACTGCACAGAATTAATAGACTTCTTGGTCATTAGGCAGTTCATATGTTTACTCTTTTAAAAAGCACTTTGTTCATATCTCTGTTACAATATTTAATGTTGTAATATTTATCTGGTTTATATGTCTGTCTTCCCCCATGAGATTGCAAGCTCCTCTAGGAAGGGGACCATGTCTTATTCATCTTTTTATCTCTAGTAAAACCTGGCTTATGTGAGCACTTAGATGTTTCTTGGATGAAATAATGAATGAATGCATATATAAATATATAGTAATGAGGTTGACAATTACCTCCCTTGTTAATTCTTATCAATTTTCTAAATATCTTAACAGTTTCCTCAGTCACTGGGTCCATTTTAAATAATAGTATTATGTGTCTCATCACAGGGGTTACAGTAGTGATGGAGTCAGATACCTAGAATCAATCCTGACGTTTCCCCAGTTAAGGCATCTAGGTTGTATGATACTAAATAATGTAGTCCTTTCCAGGGCTTAATTTGATTATTGAGGTTTTTTTTTTTTTTGGTTTTTTTTGGTTTTTTTTTTTTTTTTTTTTTTTTTTTTTTTTTTTTAAGAGTACATGGTTAGAAATGCTGACAACTGCCAATCTAGACCTTCTCACTAAATTGTTTTGGTCCATAGGTGACCATGTATAGAGAACTGAACAAGGATTAAGAGATTTAGATTACGTTTCTCAGCTCTGTACTAACTCTGTAGCCTTAGACAAGTCTCTTGCCTTAATCCAGAGTTTGTACCTTATGTATAAAATGACAAGGGTTGGACTGAATGGTATCCCTGGTGGTACATTAGTGTTTGATTCCAAAACAATTTTATATCTGAAAGCCAGTTAACCTGTAAGGTGCAGGTAAACTTCTGTATTTACAAGTTCTTCCTATTCCCATTTATAACTTTCCTCTTTGCTTCTAAACTTTTTTTTTAAAGTATTTACCTATTATATTCTTTGTCAAGAAGTTCAGATTTATATCTTTTTTCCGTCTCCATTCTTTCCTTCTACAGTATGCCACCTAAAAGTAGAAACCTTTTTAATTCTACAGCTCTTCTGATAAGTTTGGTGCTTTTTGTACACACCTGGTTATCTGATTGCACAGGTAGAGTTGGGAGTGGGAAAAACAGTACAGGCAATGTAGGCAACTATAGGAGAAATTACATATTTCTGGTTTAAAAGATTGATTAGGATTACCTCAAGGGATGGTTGTCACATTAAATTTTTTTTAATCTCTAAACAATGTTTCAAATGTTATTGAATAATTGTAACTTTTTTTTTTAAATAAGTTAACTAAAGCCCAGACATTTAATGAAAAGGTGTTATAGGAAATGAAAGACTATTCCATAGGTTTTGTTTTATTGTAATATGGTCAAATGTAACAAACCAGTAGTTTACTATGAAAATAAGACTTCACTGTTTTAGCTGATTACTTGTAGCAAGTATGGCTAAGCCTCCTTGAAGAAAGTATCTTGTTACCAGAACTGTTTCCTGGGGAGTGGGAAGACGGGCTGTATTCTAATCTTACTTGCAACACTAACCATTGGGTGTGATGGCACAAAAAGATATCAGACATTTAATTATTTGGTTTGTTGAAATATCAGTGGCTGTATCAGAATGCTGTATACATTTTATCAAAAATATATCTCCCACTGCAATGAATATAGCTAATTACAGAAAAGTAGCTTTAGTCCTAGCATTTATATAAATCTCTGTAAATCCCATTCCCCCTAAAAAGTCAGTTAAGCCTTCAAAACAAGATTGTCCTAAAAGAAGTTCTGGATTACTCACTCTGGGTTTTTCTCCCAGGACTTTTTTTTCCCTTCTAAAATTTTATGTACTAAAAATGGATATTTACTAACATAGATTTTAAGCCACCAGTATACTAAGCAGTATGAAATACTTATAAGGCAAAAAGAAAACCTCATTCTAGATAGAAAGAACTCACTTTTATCAATTTCCTGAACTAAAAGAATGACTTGTCTGCTCTATAGTATGGATACAGTCCTGTAGAAAAGAGTGTTATTAGTGCTTTGTCTCTTACAATACATTCACTGAGCAGGTGGAACAGAAGCTTCTAAAAAGCTGCCCAGTTCTCCCAGGAAAGGAAAAATTGCTGGACACAATTACCACTCTCAGTTATTTCTAATGAAAACAGACATGCTTAGTAAAAAACATCAGACTTGATAATAACTTTTTTTGTAGTTGTTAGTTTTCTGTGCTCGTTACTTAATAAAAGTGAAAGCAATTTAAAATTTTCCTTTTTTTATTTGATCCTTTCCAAATCTTCCCTCTACTTCTTTATTTCATCCACTCATCTTATGTATCTGAAGTTAGTCGTCCTTTGTATGCCAGGCCCCGTCTCATTATATGTTGCTTTTTAAAATTTTGCTTGTTGCACTTGGTGCTTGGTGTAGAATTTTACGTCATCTAGGATGATTAAAGAAAAATGATCATTATATGGAGTTTAAGGAAATAAGATATCCTTGTAATTATTTTGAAAATCGTTGGGAAACTTCAAGAAATTTGGTTTTGCTTTTGGTTTATTTATAGTGACTTGAGGCTTGTTATTTGAGTTTTAAATTTTTCTTTGCTACTCACAGCTCTGTGTAAAAATACCAGTTAGTAGATTTTCTAACCCCAAAATTTCAGTAATAGCCATTTTGTAGTGCTATGATCTTAACACTTAATATTTTCAGAAAGCATGATGCAGAGAGGGTTTGTTAAAAATCCCTTTAGCACAAAGATAATCTTTGATATAATTTGTCTGTAACTTTCAGTTTGATTCTTCTCAAGTAGACTTTTAAAAATATTATAATAACTTAGAGATAGTTCATACTGCGATTTGAATTTTAGATTCTTCTGTGACTTAAAAAAATTTTTTTAATAAATGTTGTCTTTTTCCAGCAGAGAGAGAGCATCACTGCCTGAATTTGGCTTTGTGACTCTACGAGCAAGCCCGTCCTGTCCTGTCTGGAGATGACTGTTAACATCCTGTCATTTGGTTTGCCCTTTATCAATCTGAATAGCTGTTTACATGTACTGTGATGACCATTTTATCTTTACAGTTCTGTACAAGTACATCTGAGTCCAGAAGTGTACCAAGTGTGTGATATTTATGACCTTACTCATAGATGTTTTCTCCCCTTTATAGCAATTTAACTTGTAAACCACCTTAAGAAGGAGCAAAGGCCTTTTAGCTTCCTTATGAGATGTATTATGTCTCAGGCAAACTGAGAAATGTGTCTGTGAAATCTATAAAGCCATGAGAGCATTAATTGAACAGTTTAGAATGAAGAAAATGAATTAAAAAGTTAAACATAAGTTTGGCTTTAATTTTTTATTTTTAGGATGTATTTATTGAATTAGGATAGCCACTGAAAATAATTTTGAACAGAGTGTAAAGTTCTTTTTACATACTGTAATTAGTTATGTATTTCTTGTGAGCATATTAATTGATGGGATTGCCAGGACCATTTTACTCCAGTGCATTTTTTGTCATTCTTAACTCCCAAAAACGAAGAAAATATTTTATTTCTTTTCAAATAATAAATGATAACCTGTGGGTTCTAAAACTGAACAACATCTATTAAGTTTGTCTAATTTATACAGTTTTCATTATTTGTAATCAGGGATCAAAGACAATCCTACAAGCAAGGGGAAATAGTGTTAAGTGTTTTTAAAGAATAGCTTTCAACTGCTCTAAAAGTATATCTACTAATTATTTATAAGCAGTATAGCTTAAAGTATACGATTAAAATTCTCATTCTAAATATGAATTAACATTTTTTATAGCACACCAGAAATTTTTTTTCACTAAGTTTTTTTTGAGTATTCCTTCATAGATTCTTAGGGGTTTCTGAGAAGTCTAACATGATAGCCACTCTGACTTAGAACCAAATTATATTGATTCTGATTTCTTTCTTTTTAAGCTCTACCCAGTCATACTTTCTTTCATGCAAAACTACATACTACTCTACAAACACTTTTTCCCTCTTGAGTATGCATTGTGATTGTCTTCATGAATAATAAAATGTAACAAACTCATTAGTCATACTATAAATTATCTGTCTTGATCCACATTGATTATACATGCATGGTTAAAGGAAAAGCATGTATTTTAGATAATTATTATCTAAATAATAATTTAGATAGCCTACAAGGCATTCTGTTTGGTTATTTTCTCCAGCCCTACCAACGTTTTTTGTTCTTTTTTACAGATTTGCAGATAGCCGTGAGGAATCCATAAATGTTTTACCAGAATAGTTGATATTTTTACTTTGAAAGAAGGCTTTACAGTAGTAGTGCTGTAGCTGCTTACTTTAGAGCCACAGAACATTGTCGGAAGAAACCACACCTGTCAGCCAGTAGCTCTTTTGATTGCTTAATAGGTGACTGCTGCACACTGTCACATTAACTTACTTTGCTGTTGCCTTTTTCTTTTGCTGTTGGGTTAAAAACAAAGCAAAACAAAGTGGAACATGCCCTTGGGGATCAGAAGTCAAATTGATTTCTCCTTAAAATCATTGCATTTTTTAAAAAAGTGTTGGGAGATTCAGTTGGTCAGTTACATTTAAGTCCTTATACATTGGTTATTAGAGATTCCTTTTTAAATTTTTTTTCTTGAATAGCCTTACCATGGAGCTATGTGTACATAACTGTACAGAATCATTTTTGTGTAATTGAATGGAGCAGTTTACTTCTGCATGACTGCATTATGGAAGCCTTTTATATATCTTTATATTTTTCAATATACTTAGATTTTACACTATTGGTCGCTCTAGTCATGCTATATTTGTTGTTTTTTTTAAATAGAATTTATAAATATTTATGCTCAAAATACAGATCAACTAAATATTTTTGGTCTTGTTTACAAGATAATACTTTAAAGTGATACAGACCCCTCAAGTGTCTTAGGAAACAGTCATTGGTGCTATAAAACCTTTCAGTGTCATTGAATCTGTCGTCTAGTCTTTGCTGGTCTTTATTTATTTATTCCTGCTTATACTTTAATCTAGCTAGCAGCAGAATTATGAAGTGGTATGTGTTGAGTCGGTTAAAAGCCCAGCCCCATTAGAGAACACCTAATAATTTAAGAAACTGATGCATAATGACTGTATTCTTATTGTGCCCAGCTTCTCCCAAAAGAACATAGTTTATTTTGATAAGAAGGCTATTAATTTGATTAGCATTTAAAAATGATATACTTACTCAAGCATGTCTTTTTCTCATATTTGAAATGGAAAACTTTTCTAGTCCTAAAATAATTACGTAATTTCACTCTGCTTTAAATTTCCATCTGTCCTTCACTCAGTCGAAGGCAGAGTATTTCTTACAAATATTTACAGAATATTTGATGAATTATAAAGAAATGAGTTATTACATTGTACAAGTTTTCCGTTGATGTGTACTTCGTGTTTTGTCCCCAAGATTTTATTCCAGCACCTTACTGAATGTTTTTAAGATACAGTTAAGTATCAGCAGAGCATTCAGACATGTTTGCTTTTGATTCTCAGAACCCTAAACCTGTTTTGAGTGTGATAATACTTCAGAATATACTGTTTGTCATCAGATTTCCTTTAAGGGTTCCTTTACTGGTTTATTTTAGCTCAGTTTCTATGGACTGTTGTTGAATATGAAAACACCAAAGGAGTCTTTTCTCGTCTGAAGACTGGGTTGTTCCAGTGGTTAGTACCTGTGCCCATAACTATCCCATTTCATGAATGCGTGTTGGCATGGGGGAAAATTCCCTGCTCTTTGAGTGGAGCGAAAGTAACTGGTTAAGCTGTAGCAGCTTCCTTGTTTATTTTTAAAAGTGATGATAAAACTTGAACTGAAAAAGGTAAAACTTGAACTAGAAAACTACTCTTGTATGCACAGAATGTTTATAGTGACTGTGTTTGTGTGGGTTGTCAACACTTCTATTATTTATAGTTGAATTATGTTGTTTATTAAATATCCATGTTTATTATTTTTATATTTTGAAATTTTAAAAATAAAATAGTCTTAATAAAAACAGTTGTTAATGTTTTAAAATTATCCTATATCTTATAACAGTTATATTTGTATAAATAAGATTCGTATCCACCATGCATACACAGTTGAGACTTCTGAAACTGTTTATGAAGAAGTAGCCCCATGTTTTCTCTTGCACTCGCTACCCTCAGTTCTCAGGTGAAGCTGGTTCCAGTGTGCTTCCTCCCACATAAACAAACCTTGATTGCCATGTTTTCTTAATTCCTGCTTCTGCATACTTTTTCTCTTTATTTCATTTGCTGGCCAAAAAGTTCTTACTATGTTGAAGTATAGAAACACTACAGTGATGACTAAGAATGACTGCTGTAGAGTCTGAAGGCAAAACTACAGTGGTGATCCACAAACTCATAAAAATGTTTTTAGAAGTTCCCCTTGTAACCTGATGATGATATAGGTCCTTTCTCCCTCCTCATCTGATTTGGCTTCCTGTTCTCACATCCAGCATGTTTCTTGCAGAATTACAAGAATTGCATACTTTTTTGGGTTTCATTCTTAGCTGTGCATCTGTCACCTATAAAAAGCTTGATGAGGACCTGTGACAGAGTTTGGAGATTAAAAATACATCTTTATCTTAAAAGGCATAAGGCTTGATAATCTATATAGAGGTTTAGTTTTTAACTAGTAAAATGTCTTAATAAAATTGTCCTTGGTAAAATTATTAACATTTGTAGTTACATACATGTAAACTCATACACATGCACACAAATATATAGCCATCCCTGTGGGTAATTTTAGATTATGTTCTCAGTTTCTACTTTACCAAAGTATTTCTTTTAAAGACTGAATTTTTTTTTTCTTTTCATCTTTTTCAAAATTACATGTAATTATGTATTGTAGAGAAAGAGGAAATTTAAAATTTGGATTATATAATTTTTTGGTATGTTTATAACAATTTAATCCCTCAACTATGAATTAGAATCAAGTAATTCTTGCTTGGGGTTTATAGGGTAGGCAGAACATCCTTAAATATCTTTACCTTTTTGATTCTTTCTATATGACACATTCTCAAGTACAGGTATACCAGTTTTTAACCTAGAGATACACTTTGCATTTGATCTTTTGCAAAGTATAGACACATATGTTCTTTAATAATTTAGATTTAGGAGTCAAAAGTACAGTTTTATTTGCATTTCATTTGAACTCCTCTAATTCATTTCTTGTATTCATGTTACATTTATAACCACATTCTTTCTGTGCCTGACTTCTGATGCGGGAGTAACAATATCAGTGATGTTTTTCACATTTAGTTGCCAGGATTTTTCATTTTCTTGGAGCTGAAGTTTTTAATTCTTTTTTAAATTTATTTTTTAATTTATTACAAGTTATTCACTTTGTATTCCAGCTGTAGGCCCTTCCCTCGTACCTTCACATTCCCTCCCTCTCTCCCTCCCTCCCTCCCTCCCTCCCTCCCTCCCTCCCTCCCCTCCCCTCCCCTCCCTCCCTCTTCTCTTCCCAAGCTCCTCCAAGGTCCACTGATAGGGGTAGTCCTACTCCCCTTCCCTGACCTAGCCTATGAGGTCTCATCAGGACCGGCTGCATTGTCTTCCTCTGTGGCCTGGTAAGGCTGCCCCCACCCCACTCAGGGGGAGGTGATCAAAGAGCGAGTTACTGAGTTCATGTCAGAGACAGTCCCTATTGCCCTTACTAGGGTACCCACTTGGAGACTGAGCTGCCATCTCTGCAGCGGTTCTAGGTTATCTCCATGCATGGTCTTTGGTTGGAGTATCGTCTCAGAAAAGACCCCTGTGCCCAGGTTTCTTGGCTCTGCTGCTCTCCTTGTGGAGCTACAGTGCCCTCTAGGTCTTTCTATCTCTCCCTTTCAGAAGATTCCCTGCACTCTGTCCAAAGTTTGGCTATGAGTCTCAGCATCTGCTTTGATTCCTTGTTGGGTAGAATCTTTCAGAGGCCCCCTGTGGTAGGCTTCTGTCCTATTCCCTGCTTTCTCCCTTTTCTGATGTCTGTCCCTCGTTCTATAATTCTTATGACAGTATTAAACATTTTACTGACAGATAATGCTAAATGCTCCTTTTTTTTTTTTCTCTTCTCACATTTGGACTTTTTTTTCTGACTGTAATTTATTATTATTAATTTTAATTTATTAACTTTGTATCCTGCCTGTGACCCCCTCCTTTGTCTCCTCCCAATCCCACCCTCTTCTCTTCCTTAGAGATCATTAGTTCATTACTAAATGCTCATTTTTATTCAAATAAATGATAAAATCCAGGTTGGGATTTCTGTTTCTTAATGATGTTATCTTCAAGAATACACAAAGATCTGCCAAATAAAATTTTGTTACTAAATTTTAAATATCATTTTTAATCTTCCATCCTGATTTTTTCTAGAAAAATGTTATATATTTAATGAAGTCCATTGTGATACACCCAAAGCGTGAAATAGACAGTGAAAGAAGAAAACTTCCTAACTGTCTAGTTTTTGTTCTGTTATCAGATGAAAAGCTTGTTCTGTGGTTTCTAGAGATGAAATCCAGGGTGTTGGTTATGCCAGGCAAGTACTACACTTCTGAGCTATATCTCCAACCCAAGAAAAAGCAATTTAAAATACCTACCTATATAATCTTATTTTGTTTAATCGTGCATATTTTCCCCAATTATCTACCTGACGGGTGCTGTTATTTGGCTAGAAATGGGAAAACTTGGATGTAATATGTAGTGTGGCTGTGGTTTGAGTGAGTGAGGGTTCGCGTTATAGTTTTATGTTCTCCATTACTAATTCACGGTGTGCTTAGAATGTGCGTTATTGGAATGTAATGTAATACATCTTTTATTCCGTGCTCTGAAAATCATGATTCCTAGCAGGTGTGGGCGGGGTGGGAGCCACAGTCATGTATCCCAGATTTTTCTCAGACTTGCTATGTTAGCAGTGGGAAACAAGGGGCTGCGCATCAAGCTCAGTGCCTATGCCTGCAAGAAAACGGCACTACCAATTGATCTGCATCCCAGTCTTTCTTGTTTTAGGGATTTAGGATATGGGGTTAATGAAGAAGTTGCTTAGAGGATAAAGTACAAGCCACCCCTAAAAAAAAATCATTCAATCATTAATTCATTCATTACAATTTATTCACTTTTTACACCCCTTCCCCCGCAGCACCCTCTCTTATCTCCTCCCAGACCCACCTACCCTCCCTTTTCTCCCACAAATCACTTTTTTAAAATTAAAGTTATAAAAGTCCTTAATATTTTTAAATCATTTGAATTTCAAGTATTTTTGTTCCTAAGATCTCATTTAAAGACATTTCAAACAGGAAAATTTAGAAATCACACATGAAATTGCTATAATAGATTAGAAGGGCTATAGTAATTTTAGTAAGTTTCTTGAAAAAAATATTTGATGACTGATTTTAGTAATTGGGATAGACTTCATGTCACTTGTAATAGATGCAGCAAAAACTACATCTGTTAGGCATTTTATAGAAACCTGCCTTACTGTGTTTTAGTTATAGGACTATAGCACAGCCCTCAGTTTGTGCTATAGAAGACTAGAGATGTGTTAGATGCCCAGGAAAAGAAGAGCGAGATCAGTTTTGTCAGCTGCATTGTGAAAGCTCTTGTAGATTGAAAGCTGTCTGGAAACAGAACGAACACACGCACACATGCGCGCACGCACGCACATGCGCGCACATCCCTTAGCTCAAGACTTCATGAAAAGGAGGGTGCAAGAAGCACACCTGTGTAGGATCTTCTTTTCTGTCCTCTTCAGGATAGAGTGCACACTCAGCTGAGAGGGTGCCAGCGTAACTATTTGGTTTTGCATTGCTTTTGTTTGTGTGGGACTAGCTTTACTGTTGCTCAGGCTGGACTTGAATTCGTGGACGAAAGTGATCATTCTGCCTCAGCCTCCAGAATAGCTAGGACCACAGCTGCATACTTTGTCACCAGACGCTTTTTACCTTCTCTGCTACAGCTTCTCTGCTACAGGAGTACTTGGACTATTATTTATATTGTTTCATTAGAGCACAATGCTGTCAGACCTTTTGCTAAGGGTCAGGGTTTAATTTTTGGTTGGTGCTGTATGTATTAGCACATGTTGATTGGTAGGTTGCTTGGCTGTTCTTGAACTTGTGTTCCTCCTGTGTCAGCCTCAGTGCTGAAATCACAAATGTGTCATCACATCGACTTAACCAAATTGTTATTGTCCAGTTGGACTATTCATTTTCCAACTTTGCACACTTAAGGCTTTTGTGTGTATAGTTCTAGGTACCTTGCCACAGTGTCCCACTAGATTCCGACAGGAACTTTACTGCTGGTTTTTACAGCATTGCATGTCAGTTTCTTCTGACAGAAGAGGTTCACAGTTTTTTATCCTTCAATAATTTGAACTATATTGGCATCCTTATGTTTCAGTGGTCTGTTTCCTGCAGACCCTTTTTCAGCTTTTTTTTTTTTTTAAGTGAAAATGTAGCCTTACTGTCGTTAAGGAACTTGAGTTTTTAATAGTCTCTGTTCTACTGTCTTCTATTGATCATATTTATTTCCTATAACTCTGGACCCTTCCCTCATCATGGCCCTCTCCCAACTTTTATTTCCTCCTCAACATGTTTTGTTTCTTCGAGACAGGGTTTCTCTGTGGAATAGCCCTGGCTGTCCTGGACTTACTCTGTATACCAGGCTGGCCTCAAACTCAGAAATGAACCTGCTTCTGCTTTCCTTGGTGCTGGGATTAAAGGTGTGCACCGCCACTGTTGCTCAAAGCATTTTGATTGATGCTTATTGTGTACGAGAGACAAAGAAGAGAGGAGTATGCCATGTGTGCTAACAGTCATTGGATCTCTCCAAGAGTTAGGAGTTACTGGCATTGTGATCCAACTAGTGAGGCTACTGGGAGTAGAATTTGTGACCTCTGGAAGAGCAGTAAATGCCACAGAATCTTCTCCAGCCAGCCTCTCTCTCTCTCTCTCTTTTCTCATATTATGTCTCAGAGGTTTTTCTTTTTTTTGTGGGGGGGGGAGGTTTGTTATCTGTA